GTTCTAGCAGTTTTGATGGAAAAGGTAATGTTTTAGCACATGGCTTCTTTCCAAATAATGATGAATGTCTAGGAATTCATTTTGATAAATCAGAAAATTGGTATTTTGGTGAATCAGGCAATACACCTGATGGCCAAACTAATTTTTATACAATATTATTACATGAAATCGGACACACATTAGGTATTGAACATTCTACAAATAATAATTCAATTATGTACGCCTATTATGAAGGTGATATTGATGAATTAACTCAAGACGATATGTGGGCAATTCAATATTTATATGGAAGACCTGAACGATTAAAATATGAATGAATACCAACAACAACAACAACAGTTAAACCTAGAGGTGAAGCCGAAGTCGAAAGTATATTTGGTAATTTATGTGATTTTAATAAAGAAATTGATACATTCTTAATTGCAAATCTTCATATGTCTATTTTTTATAAGAAATATGTTTGGTTAGTTAATTTAAAAGACATGACTTATGATAAAGAACCGAAATTAATTACAGATTATTTATATTTTTTGCCAGATGATTTTCAAGTAATTTCACATATTTATCAAAGCCCTTCAGGTGATGTTTTAATAGTTGTTAAAAATTTATATTATTTAATTGATTTTCCAAGTTTTAATGTTAAAAGTGGATATAATGCTCGATGTATTGAAAATTTAGGAATACCAAAAGGAAAAAGAATTGATGCAATATTTAGAACTTATTCTGGAAAAACATATATATTTTATGATAAAGTCTTGTGTACATTGAGTTTGATGAGTGTTTGTTTAGATCAAAGAAAAATGGCCTTATTTCAGAATTATTTGCTGGAATACGTCCAAATATAAGCAGAGCATTCAGATATAGAAATTTATATTTCTTTAAAGATAAAATGTATTATGAATTTGATGATATTTCGAATACATTAGTTAAATCTGATAAATTTGACTTGACAGTTTTCGGTTTTAAATGTAGACTTATCGATCAAATAATAAAACTAATTAATCGTCTGTGATTCACCTAAGGTATGCTGTATGCTACACATTTTCATACATTTTCATATATAGTTTCATTAACTGAAGGAATTTATACTTGAAATATGTATATGTACTCCTACATTTTTTAAATGACTTTAAAGACTTGGTCATTTTCTAGAGTGTATACCGTTTCGGTATACACCAAATTTTCCAACTCACATAATTCTTTTAAATAAATTTTATCTTCATTTTGGACAAAACCGTATTCTTACTTGGAAAAGCGGGGTATTTTCCTTGAAATGTTGACTTTTTTAAAAGAGTACGTTTGGAAAAACGGTACATTTCTCAAAAATTAAACTTTATTAACAAGTTACCTTGAAAAACAGGACAAAATGATTAAAAAAGCAAAGTATTCTCAAAAGCTTTAAAATTCAAGTGTTTTTAAAAGGTGAATTGTTTTGGCCGAAATCGTATTCATATGTGCTGAAATGGCCCAACAGAAAAACAAGGGAAAAAGACGAATTTTAAGTGTTTTTAAATGGTAACTTTTTTTGGCCGAAACCGTATTCACATTTGATAAAAAGGATATATTTTTTAAAATTTTGTCTTTTTTAAAAAAGGGTGACTTCGAAAAACCGGGCAAATTCTTTAAAAATTTTAACTTTTTAAAAGTTACCTTGAAAACCCGGCTAAAAGCATTAAAATGTTGTGTTCTGAGGGGGCCTTACTAGTAGTATGAAGATTTACTAGAAAATACAAGACTTAAAGAAGCTGGACGAAAAAAACAAATACGGGGCAAAAGTGAAAGAAATACAAAAAAAAAAACTTGAAAATTTGCGTCCTTATAAGTGTGCCCAAACATTGCGAAAAGCTTTTAAAAAAGTGGAAAATGCACTTGCTAAAAGAACTAGTTCTACGGAATCTTATTTTTATCTGTGCAAAAGAAAGAAATTTTATTGAAGAGTTGACAAAATCGTACATGTCCCGTCCGTAACCGTGGAATGGTTGGGTACCGTTAAGCTCTTAGCTACCTGCGCGGTACTGGGAGAGACCTCACTACACCAAACTACAATAAAGGGTCGTAAATATCTAGGTTCTTGATGGACATATTTACAACAAGGGTTAAACAGGAGCTAATGCCGTTTGAGGTTATTCCACTGCGAAAGGCACTTAAAATAATTAGACATTATTGAAGACACCTTCAGCGGCGGCAGAATTTATGACTTGAACCTGCCCGATCGTTAGTCCTGGACAAATACCTAGAAGTGGCAGACCTAACTTTGAAAGCCGCAATAGGATTACCATAAAACTATGAACTTCTAAGTAGTCAAATAATGTTTATTTTCTTTCTATTCTTTACTTTTCTGTTTTCCACTCCGTTTCGCTTGACCATCTTCATCTCGTTCCTTTGCAGATGTCTATTCATCATAAACATCATTTGGCAGAGTTCATACTTCTATGGTAATTCTATTACAGTCTTAAAACTTAGGTGTGGCACTTCTATTTGCCACGATTACACCTGAGTTGGATTTTAGAAATTTGTGAACAATGCTAATTCCTTTGGACGCATTTAAAAGAATAGTACAGTAAAGTACCGAGATTAAAAATATATGTTTTCAAGAAATATTTAAAAATTTAAAATCATATGACATTTTCTTAACAAAATTTTGTGATGACTTTGCCAACATTTAGTAGAAACAAATTAAAGTGCTTTTAAAATATTACAACAGTCTGTTCAGTAGTTTCAGAGATTATTTATTAATAAATGGAATACTTGTCTAATAAAATCGCCAACTAACGACAGACATACAGACGGAAATGGAGACCAATCTTTTCGTATTGCAAATATAGTATCTCAGGACGTATATATCTTTTTAATTTCATTCAACAAGTATATGTTTTCAGAATTTTAACCAAATGTGAGATTTTGATATACAGTCGACACAGATTTTTTGAACACTTGTGTAAGCCGCATTAAAATAAAATCGTGGCATTAAAGCACAAAAATACGGCATCTCAGGACATATTTTCAAAGGAATGATTAGACAAATTTTGGTTTCATAATAATGAAACGTTCGAACGAATTAACTCAACGCTAGCCATTGAACAAATTTATAACACACTAGTTGGACTACTAAAGGTGTGTTTACAAAAGCAAAATTCTAGTTAATTTTTAGAGAATCGTGTCAGTAAGTATTATACTGTGACGCTACTGACATGGTTGCCACTTAAGACTTGGAATAATAAAAAAGAACGCGATAATAAATTCGTGTTTTATTTCTAATCCTTCAACTTCAAATGCAAGAGAATAAAATAAAACAGAATGAAGAAATTTAAATTTTAAATCTCAAACAAGTGAGATCCTGTCATGGACACTCGTTTCCTACTGAAAAAAAAACACACGTGTGTAAGGACTAGCAGACGTGTTGACCAAGGTGTCTCCGCCTGTGCAGCAGTGGCGGCTCGTCATATGAGGCAAGTGAGGCGGCGCCTCACAGCATATATCTTAAGAACAGATTGACTTAATTTATAATTAAAAAAGAGCTTTCAATGCATTTTTAGTTACAAAAATATGTTGAAATGGTAAATCTGTAGATTATTTTTTATTTTTTACACTTTCTGCGGACATTTTCCGTTGAATACTGTACGATTTATGCCCCGAATTCTTTAACTGAAGCGGCCAGAGCGTCGGTTCACTTGCGCCAATGAAGCCCAATCACAGACACGGATTTCCATGACTCAGCTGCTATACTCCTATACATGAATTCGCTCGGAACTGAGGCGATATCTTCGATGCTTCTCGGCCAATTTCGGCGGACCCATTAAATCATTTTCCCATTTATTTTACAGAATGGAAGGGGTGCAGGGTGCGTGGGTAATTAGCATAAACGTGAATAAAAGTCCAGGAGCTGGTGTTTCGTGTTTTTGTCTCTTTCATAGGTACAGGGGACAGGTGAGTGAAAAATGAATCCCGAGTACGATATTGTCATGTTGCTTCTTGAAACGCCGTTTTCACGACGAACCGAGTTAGAACGTCGGTAAATTTTGCTAAATATCGAACAGTCAAAACCGTTAACTTCCATTGATAAGCGACTATGTCATCAGTACTACAGGTCTTTTAAACCAGCCTGGTACGAACCATAAACGGCTCTGCCGTAGCCGTAATATTTATGCTGAAAGTCTATATTGTTCGCCGTGTCTACTCTTAAGCAATGTAAAAAACACATGGACGACGTCTCCGGGATATAACGATTTAAAGAATTTCATTCGAAGTGCAAAGTTACATAAAAGTTCCAAAGTACACATTAAAAATTTCATGGGCTTAAAAGATTTAGAAAGGAACACAACTAATGCCGAATCCCTCCAAGAAAGTGCTAGTTTAAACAAAATTTTGACTTGTAAAACATTGTTGATTAAATGTGTTATGGGTGTTAATATTATTATTATTATTATTACTATTATTAGGACCCACTACTGACTGGGAAATGAACGGTATTCAAGCAAGACTTCTATCATTACTAACTACTAAGACCAAGCAATATGCATTAATCACATTAATTTAATTAATTTTATTATTGATAATATTATTGTCAAACTTCTATCATCGCCTCACCACATCAGACAGTCACGAGCCGCCACTGCTGTGCAGCGACCCAAACCCTGAAAAATAAAGGTCAAAGTCTGCTCTGACACTGTCACTGCGCGTAATGCATCCACATTCCCACCGTTATGGTAACTTTACAATAATAATAATGTAAATTCACAATCGTGTGTTGGAATTTTACATTTCCGCGACCAGGATCACAGAAAGACGAACAGCTCTTTCTTCCCAACGCACAATTCCAATTAATTGAATTACGAGAGGTGTTTTTAATTTCTGAAAACAGGATTCCATAAGGTTGACATTGCTACCTCTTCAACTAAACTATCAGGAGCACCGAAGGTTCCTGCATTATTTCCGCAGGTGTCAGCACTTTCGCCTATTCATACACGCGGCCTTCAATCAAATACCCACTTTCCCTCTTATCTACCCAGCAGGAATTTATATTGGTCACATGATCTCAGCTTCGTATAATGTGTGTTAACTTTTCGTCACAACACGATGACTTACACGGAAAAACTTATCTCATTCCACATCATCGGTGAGACTTTATCCACCTCTTTCATTTTTTTTTAGTTCATGTTTTTACAGAAAGAGAAAACAATAAAAACTTCCACACGTGGACGTACCCAACAATAACAGACGACCATAAAAACTACATCTTGCAGAAATGTTTTTGCAGGAATGACACACTCCGGTACACGTGCAGGCGGAATAGTAACACCTGGTTTTACATTTGCGAGGTGTCTGAAAAATCTTTCGCTGTTGTAATCCTGGCCAAGGAATTTGAACCAAACAAGTACAAAGTTTTATGTGATATTTTAGCCAAGAAATATTCGGAAACTCGAAATCCTGTAGATCTGGTTGCTTTATATTTGAATTTGTATACATCAGGTGGTTTACATGACAATGGAACTTTGTTTGCAGGTTTCAAAAAGTTTGAATGTGCTACCAACATAAAAGGTTGGGGGATTTGAGTGAGTAAAGTGGCGCTAATTTTCAAGTTGTAGAGTTGATACGGTCGTTCGATGTGGAGATTATTTTGTTGTATAACGCGATTTTGTTGAAGAGGCGGGTGGTTGCGTTCCGAGGTAGCCCGAGTGGACTTTTAGATGTAAGAAAATATGATATTTTTGACACATTTTAAATAACTTATACCATACAATTTGCGAAAATGTGTTTTTTTTTGTAGGATTTATGGGCAATCGCCCACCTCGTCCCATGTAGAAAGGTAGAAGAGTATCTACACCCCGTCGTTGAAAATTTAAGTCAGTTAAAAGGTCTTTCTTTTTTTGTGGCTGGCACCACTGATCGGGAGTTCGCAAAACACGAACATTTGTATGACATTTTTGTCGATTTGGATAGCAAAGAAATTAAAATATCCCCTAAAGCAGAGGGTATGTTTTAACCGTCAAAAATGTTTTTTTTTTCATTTTCCTTTTTTTAGAAATAATGGGGATGACCAAAACTCATAAAGAAATTGCAACCTTTCTCGTAAAATTATCTACCAGTGATTCTTCTGAAGCAGAAATAAACGTCCAAATCCTCCAGAAAACCAAAGAACTCATACATATTTTACAAAACCTTGCTTCAGTTACCACAGAAAACAATACCAAGATGATTACCATAAATGAATTAAAATCAAAAAAGTTCCATCCCAACTTGGAGAATTTTTTGTTCAATCTGGCTTTAGCCGAAAACATGATGATTCTGTAATAATGACCAGACTTTTGTAAAAACATAATAAACGATTTAACTGTTCATTTATTGAACAACCTTCAGTATAAATATAATGTCATCCATTTTGAAAATACAGTGCGAGAATTGAAATGTACATCTCAATAAGTTAACTATCACATCACATAATAAATTACAACCAATACAACTTCGGATCATCTCTCCGCACTTGTAACTTAACCACGTGTTTATAAATTTTCAGCGCAGGTCCCAATTTGAGTTTTAAGTTAGTCAAAACGTCAATCCTTCTGAGTAAAAGTAACGACCGGCCGTCAATTTCCTAAAATCAATAATCAGAAAACGAAACCTTCACACACTCAATACGAACCTGTTCTTTAAAAATTTTGGCTTCTTCTGGAAAATACTGTGCAAAATAGTGATAAACATCATCTGGAGTCCAATTGGTAGCATCCGGTATCGACGGATCTATATTATCATCATCCCAATCCTTATTACTCATGTTGCTCTGATTACTGTGATTACTTTGATTACTCTGAGAATCAGAAACTCCGCCGTCTACCGTTTGCTGGACTTCGTTCTGCGGACTAAGCTGGGGAGGCGTGGGCGATAAGGGCGGTGATTGATAATTAGGTGTTGTGTTTCCAGAAATAGAAGGCGAAGAAGAAATTTCCAGCGTTTCTAAAACGACAAAATTAAGCAATCCGTAAGAATTCTTCGCTCGATTTAATTACCACTTGCACTGGTTAATTTAGTCGTAAAAGCGGTGCTCATATTGGACTGGATCTGGTTAATTTTGAGTTCTTCGGGCATTTCGCAGTTTATGCACAGCCACCGCATGCTGGGTTTTACCTTATCAGGGATGCGAGGCTGATGGCAGCCCGCATGATATGCGTCCGCACAAACGGCGCAAACTGTCAAGTACCCCTGAAAAAACAATTCTTTGAAGTTATGTAACGAGTTCTTGGTAAAACTGATAAGAAAATAACCGTCGTGGTTGTGGCAAGCGTCAGCAGATGCGATGTTTGTGGGATAAAGTGTGGCCATATGTTGTGGAGGCGCACTATTTTATCAGTTTCGGGTAGAAGGAATGGTGTTTTGGAAACCGCAATATGAATGGATTTATGAGATGGATATCTTCTTGTTGGCGATAAAGTTGTTACATAATTGCCGTCCGAACCACGTTAATCAATTTATTGATCTCATACTAGCATGCAATGGCGTCTGTTGCATATCTCCATTCAATCATTTCCACAAACTGTTTCGATAAAAAACCGTGGAATGCAATTTTTTTGTGCACGAACTACATTAATCAGAAAACTTTAGGTTAACTTTGGGAGAGAATAATTTAGTGCGTATTTTAATTGAACGAAAATCAATAAATTTCACTATGTTTTCCAATTTGGAGAAGTTATAAAATAATACAACTTTCGAATTTGTTTCGTATTTTATGAACATACTAAAATTACTGATAAACGACGTATTCGTCCTGAAACGGCAAAACAATGCCATTATATTATACACAAGGTGATCGGAAATGACAAAATATGCCGATTCCTAGAAATGGTGTATGGAGGTTATTGTCTATGTTGCCTACATGTGATTCTGTTGAAACAACAATCTTGTACTTTCATCTTCTGGATCAAAGTAATGGATCTTTAATGTGTTTTGGATGCATTTACGGTGGACAATAATAATATTTTGGCATTTTTATATTTTCAATGACAGCATCACCGCTGCCAGATGGCGGCTGACGCATTATAACGAAATTACCGACTACGTAAATTAATAGACACTTCAAAAATGGTACGTTTTTAAAGTTTTGTCACCAACGGGCACAAACGTATACTCCAGGGTGGTTCACTCAAACAAATCTAGTTTCTCAGACAAATAATTATTTAATCGCAGGTAAAGTTGCATGCTATGTGTATGTTCCGAGTGAGTTTTTCATAGTCAAACTTTCTCATTTTGTCAAGTATGGAAGTATGTTATTTTATAAAATTTAAGTAACATTTACTTTGTAAAATATTGACATGGCGTCATCAAATTGTTGCTGGGAACGATTAGATAAATTTTGGCTATATTTCTAAAATACATTCAAAATTTCGCAACAATCAATCTAGTAGTTTCGGAGATTATCTGTCTCATAAAATCGACACAGACGACAGACGGAAACGGAAAACCTTTTGTATAATAGCAGACACGTGAATCATTTTCATAACTTTGGTTAATTACCATTTGAAAGTTTTTGGTCGTTCTAAAGCACGCATTTTGGGTCCAATTATTACCCACTGTTTCACATTCCACCAGTTTGGACTTTGACTACTTCAGTCACTAAACCCTAACCACTAAATTGTCATTTCAGCATGCCACGCATTTTTGTAAACATCTGGTTGCCTAGCTACTCTAGGTTATCCTATTTACGTGTTTCACGTCACCTTGTTTTTTAAAATTTAGGGTCTCCGGTGTTTACTGGACTGGATAACTTACAATTTTAATGAATGCAATCAATAAAAGGTTAATTTAGTCACAAAGCAGACTTACAGCATCCGACGTTTCAAAACACACGACGCAAGTTTTGCAATGGGGACACTGCCACGTATTATCCGGATACATTCTCAGCATCATATCCTCTCCGTTCAGGCAGCTATAATGGGCTAAAACTGATCATTTATTGAAGGTTCGCACGCTCAGAACCCGACTCACCTTTATTGCTGCACTCTCGACAAGACACCATCCTATCGTTGGGCCCCCTTTTATTCTGTGCATGGCAAACCGAGCAAACTCCCCCTTGCTCTCTGCCACTGTTCGAAGTTCGAGACTCCGGCCTGGATTCATCGCTCAGCTTGGCCAGCTGCTTTTCTATCGTCGATTTATTCAGCGAGCCCGCAGGTCGTCCCCGTTTCTTCGGTACGTGCGTGTCCGACGGGTCGAACACCTTCTTCGCCCTCTATAAAAAAAAAGATTGAGGTTAGGTGCGTCGAAATTACCAGGAGTTTGACAGGTTGTTTTTGGGTGCTCTCGTGTTTCGAAGGGGGTGGTACCGTTTTAGGTTTGGTGCTCCTCATTGGCCAAATCGGCCGTCTAGGGTTAGGTTGGTGGTGACGTAGCGTATACCCGCAGCGACAGACGGTACTAACCTTCCTGCGTCCGCCTACTCGCACGGTCCCGCTTTCGGATTTTTTCTCGTCGGAATCCATATTTTCGGGCCTCTCGCGCTTGAAACCCGGTTTGGGTCCGGGCTTCTTCCTCGGCTTGATGTCGTCGGAGGGCCGTCCCTCCTCCTTCGTGGGTCCCATCAGGTACTTGTCGTTTTCCATCTTGATGAGGCCGCCGTTCTCGACCTCCTTCTCAATGAGAATCGAGATGTACTTGCGCGTGTAGCGCACGCTGTCCTTGGAGAGGATGTTGTTGATGATCTCCTCGGCGGGCACGCCGTACTCCAGGTAGTCAGGCTCCTGCACGACGAGCTCGCCGAACGCGTTGGTCAAAAGTTGCGCAAACTTCCTGTTGGCTTTGTTGTCCGCGCTGCCGTCGCTGTCACGCTTGACGTGCGAGTACTTTTTCGCCGCATTCCGGTAGCTGATGCTGCCCTTGTACTCCACCTTGAGGACGATGTCGTTCTCGACGCACCACTGCAGGTCGGAGCGGGCCTCCACCGAGCTGACGGAAAACCGCCGGAACAGGTAGTTGCAGATGCGCTGGATGTCGGGGCGCGCTTTCCGCCGCCGCAGCTGGTCAATCGCCTCGAGGATCCGCTCCCGGTTCTTGATGGGGTTCATCTTCGAGGGGCGCGCGGCGCGCCGAACTCGCGGACCGGGGCCGTGCGCTGTCGCGACGCCCTTCCGCCCTTCTATCAATTATGTTATATTACCGTGGGGCCGGAGGCGGCGCGGCGCGGACTGGCGGCAGGAGCGCGACTTCGGCCTTTGGAGTTGGAATCGGATTGTCCGTGTTGCGGCAGGGTGGCTGGCGCGCGGAGTGCAGCTGCGCACGCTTAGGACTGGCTCAGGATCGGCTCCGATCAACTATTTATCTTGCGAGTTGGCGGTGGCGGCGGCGGCGGCGGCGGACTGCGACTTTCCTGTCGGCGACGGATTCCGCCGATTTGCTGATTTTAGGCGAGACGCACCCGCGGACCGGTGCGGCTTCGTTTCGTGTTTAGGCGAGACCGGCAAACGCGCGTTAAATATTGCGAGAATAGCAACGGACACGGTTTGCGCTCGAACGGGAAACTTTTATACACACACGCGCCTGTCATCTGTCAGAGGCTTCGCGAAAAGCGCTTCTGCAGCGCTGGGTCGAGGCAGAGCGGGCACACGTGGGCTGGGCCAGGCGGCACTGTCGCGCTGAGGGGTTTAATTCGGGTTTCGGACGCGACCGCTCACTGATAAACCGGCCGCCGACCATTTACTCTGTGTATATACGACGCTCTTCTTTGCGGATTACAAGAATTACCCATTTCAAACGGAGGAGAGGGGGGGTTACTAATTCTGTAAGAATCGTTATGCCGCACCGCCTAAAACCTAATAAGCTACTAATTACCACACGTGGTTTCAACCACTGAAATACCAACGTCGAATGTAAAGTACACTTCACAAGATTTATTAATAAAAAACAACTACATTAAAAAAAATGACATTTTGACTATCCCGTCAAAAATTGACGCAACGCATTTTTTTCTAATTTTTTGCATGCAGGTGTACACAAAAGATGAAAATGGGGACATTTTGTTGCGCCGCAAAATAAAAGAAAAACACTATTTGTCCAAAAAATGACATTATTGACTGGCGCCGTCAAAAATTGACACAACTCATTTTCTTTCCATGCAGGTGTACACACAAGATAAAAATGGAGATTTTTGTTGCGCAAATCTACTAAAAATACGACCTACGCGTCGCACTTATCGGGCGATCGAACAAGAATTTTAATCTTTAACAATTTAGTGGCAGTAGTTTTTCTAGAACCATTAAAAAAGGCGCAATATTGTTATCTGGATGCCTTTACCCCGTATAATGCGCCACTTCCCACACCATTATTGCTAGTAGACCTACTATTTCAGGTGTGGTGCGTGGTAATAGAAAACGAATTGATTTTTGGTAGCTCGAAGTCTCCAATTAAGAACTAGTTAGGTTAAAAACCCTGTTATAATTTCAAGCCGTTTTTACACTACAAAAATTTCAGCAGATATTTAGGGAAGTTCGACCCTATGCCACACTCATTTTGAAGCGGCGTTTGTCCTACTGATTTCTCCTTTTTCCTGTTTCAGAAATATTGCGTAAATTCTGTATCGCAAAACAAATAAAATCCAAGATTATTTGTCTGGCAGTACGGCTGCGCGCGCAGTTTGGTAGAAATTTTGCCGCTACTGATTGCTGATTGGCTGCAATTTGAATCCGTTTCACAGAGGGATGATTTTTGGAGATTTAAAAAAAAGAAAGTTAGTTATTTCATCAGCTTTGCAGTGTTTTTAGCAATTACGTGTGTCGGAATCGTTTTTCAAGGTCTTTCTTAATATATGCAAGTACAAAACTATAAAGTATTATAATTTGTCACCCTTCTATCGACGTTTTTAAAGTGACGACGCGCAGTCTTGGATAAATTGTAAAATTCGATGTCCCATTTTTCTATAATAACTTCTAAATTAAAATAAAGGAAAGGACGGCCTATTAAACCACTAAACATAGATAAAGGAGCACATTATGCTGCAGTTTCAAGTGAGATTTATTTTCTTGATAAAATTTTGTAATGATGTCATCGATTTTTTAGTGGGAATACAAAAAGTTCCAGAAATTTACATGGTTTTCTGGATGTCATGACCTTTGGAGTCAGATAATCTCCAAAACTACTGGACCGATTTTGTCAAATTTTATATGTGTATTACGAATATCATGTTGATGGTAAAACGCTAATCAAACTTGATATAATCATCCCCACCAATGTGATGACGTCACCTCAAAATCGTACAAATTAAATGGGTTGAAAGTTGTATAAAATAACATAATTCTACGTGTAGTTTATGAATCCGTGCTGAGTTTTTACGCGAGAAATCCAGATTTTTGGTAAAAAAAATCAAAATTGTATAACATTTTGCAATAAACTTTTATTCAATAATTTTTTCGAACATCAACTTTCTTACACATATTTTTACGATGATCAGTTTGCATAAAATTAATAAAATGTGGATATTTACTTCATTGGATAAAACCACAATGAAGTAAAATTCTAAGATGACGTCATCAAATTTTAGTAAGGATGAATCGATATTTTGCGTTTCACAGTAGTCAATTCCGGAGAATACTGAACACCCCCGTATTCTCAGCAATTAAACGAGCAATAAAACCAAAAACGTTGTAGTCTTATTTATATTAATAAGTACTTTATACATAGTCACTGACAACAATACTATATAGGATGTTTCATTTTTTGCAAAACTATGTACATGCCATAGTGCTTATCACTTCTTTAACCGCAAGGTATACTTACTTGTGTTTGGTGTTTAAAAATTGTACCTCCTTGAATTACTTTTTCCCTGAACAATTAACAGACTGGTCAGTTAATCACTGAAACATCCTGTGTATAAATACTTAAAAAACACTACCTGCATAGAGGTATTGTTCAACAATTACAATAGCTGTCACAAACTTTTAAATAACAGTTTTCACAAAACAAAAAAAAACTGTCATTTAAAAATTCATGAAAATCAAACAATCGCAGCTTCAACATTTCTTAAACAACAATTGATAAACAGTGCAAGCTAATAATTTACTGAAAATTTACACAAAAATGTCGTCGGCACCAACAAAAACCTTTGTTAAGGACTCCTATCATTAATATTATTGACTCTAAATATCTGCTACGCTTCACCCCTACACTAGAATCACCTCGCTCTAATACACATGGTAGGACACAAATCTACAAAAATTAAATTCGTATCACATAGGTACATTGTGAACCAATAAACTTGGCTTGTGTTGACGATGGTTTTTAAAAAAATATATAACAAATAGTCTACACTACATATATTAAAAACAATAATAATACATAGTTCAATACAGACATAAATAGGTAACAATTAATTGCACCGTGAATTCAGAATGTTTTAATAATGACTTGTAGCTGGCATTCGGAACGATTCTAATGACTTATTTTTTTATAATTATGTTACCTGCATCTATTTGCTTAAAATTGACTATTCCTGGAAATATTGCTAATTTTTGGAATGTGCACACAATATATACGTATCCGTTAACTCATTTAGGCCATACCGGGATCTTCTAAAGCGCCATCTTCCTCCAGTTTTGTTATTAATTTCATTACTCTGAACTTCTCGTCAGTTTGGCGCGTCATGTCAATTAGTGCTAGTAATTTTTTAATACCGATGAAAATGCTAAAACGGGATATAAAACAATCAATAACGAAGAGTGTGAAAGAGAAAGACGGGGTACCGTTTTCCGTGGATTTGTTGACTAATCTTCTTTAACTCCTGAGCACTAAATACTTCAGAAGCTTCAAGCACGGCCAACAAATGATCAGCTTTTGAAAGATTTGGTAAATGCAGAACTCCAGTGAAAGCTGATAGCATCTCCATATCTTCGAGGACTTGCCTATCACAAAAAACGTACTATTTTTCAATGATTTTTAATTTCAGAGACAAACCTCCTGCTGCTGGTGCACAAAATCAGCAATTTCTTTCCTGGTGGTGGCTGTTTCTTCAACAACACTAAAAGTGCCTGCAGTGTTAAATTCGAATACCTTGGACCAATGGGACCATAATCCAACAATCTTTCAATATTATCAACTAAAATACAGCTCAACGTTGAACGATAAGCGTCATCAAATACCTATAAGTGTCAAACTAGTAAATTGTATTGAAAAAAATCGCTCTACCTTTCTGATATGTAAACATTTGGCAGTTTCCGTGTACCCCACCATTTCTTCAGGTGAGCACACCTTAACGAATGGAAAATCGGATTCTTTGGCAAGCTGAGCGGCTAAAGCGGTTTTTCCCGCGTTTGGCGGACCTTCGATTAACACACTAACCAGACCTTACAATTGAAATCAATAAAATAACAATCGCTGAACATGGTGTAAATACCTGCGGTGTCAGGTGCTCTCGCTTGTTGAATAAACAATCTACCGTCTTCTAAAATATTGCTGACAGGGGGACCCCACACAGTGATTCCGCGTGCCAAAAACTGCTCTAATATTTCTAAAGATGTGCCAAATGCCTAAGAAACCGTTGATAATAATTGTTTTTCGTTGTTTTATTCGTACGTACTGGTTTTATGTCGTTCTCTAAAGCGTTTAGGAAGTCGGACCTGCTGACTAGTAGTTTGGAAATTGCTTCCGGGTCTACTTCTACTTTACTGGCAGCTTTGATTAAACGGTTCATTGCTGTTGACTGAGCGGCTCTTACTAAACCCTCGATCTCGGCACCTGAGAAGTTTTTAGTTAAGGTTGCTAGTTCCTGGAAGATAAAAAAGTCGCATTTTAAATGGACGAACATTAACGAACATAAAAGAAAATTGCTGTAATATATCATCACAAATATATACAAGTAACACAAAATAAAAAGGGGGAACCACGGTCAGAAAAAAATTCAGTTTTGGGAAATAGAAAATTTATTCATTTATCCCCTCCTAAAAAATTGATGACTGAATCCTATCTAAAATATGCAAAATATTATGAATCTACACTAATGATTAAAATTATATGCAAATTTTCTTGATCGCAGCAAACAACTGACCCTTGCCTCATAGGTAGTTTGCGTGTAACTGTCCTCAAATATTATAGGACCACTTGTTTGCAATTTTTTTTACCTCGCCGTGCAACTGACCCATGCTCCTGAACTGTACGTTACAGGTGAAATAATAGTTATTTATTCTTCAAGAAGATAAAAACCAAAATTTCCCACGAATTTCATGAATGGGTAAATTTTCGTTTACTGGACTGGAATACAAAATTTTATTGTATACTTTCATCGGTTTTTTTTTAATATTTAAAAATAATAAAATTCCGAAACCTTTCAATACAGTATTTGGCCGTGGATTTTACAATAACAACCATTGTTTATTATTGTTCACATCAAACTGTTTATGAAAACGCGTCTTCATTTACAATGGATAAGGTAATTGTACCACAAGCAGTTCAAATGCAACATCCAAATTTATTAAAAATTGGTTTTATTAATTTGAAATTTAGTAAATCAGCGAATGTTAGAGTAAACATTTCCATTTATACTTCCACTACGTTTCCCCTTGTTATAAAAAATGACTGTACTATGGGTAAAAATGCCATAAGAGTAAAAAAAAATCACTATAAGTATAAAATAAAAGTTAGAATTATTAACTATAGTAGAATTCTTTTAATTTTGGCAACATGTTGTAAAACTGTACAAATTAGGTCTTTTGCTATTGTTACGTTGAACGGGTATTTAAAATCGGCGTGGGTTAAACTCCACAATTTATTTCTTAGTGACTCGAGTTTACACGTCTAGTTACACAGCGATTATGTATAAAATAATTCCTGCGAAACTTGGCTGATTCTCTCAACATTCACTGGACTTGATTCGACTGAATAATCGTTCCCGACGGTGGCCTCTATTTAAATTCATATATTTCTCTAGATGGATCGCGAACGCCACTTTTAGGTTTTTCTGGACACCGCAATCAAGACTTCCGGCAACCGACTCCAGATTTGTCTTTGTGTTACTGGTGATGGCGCACATACTAGAAAACCCATCGGCGTCGTACGGGTTTATTTCGTAAACTATGTTTCTGTCTTTGTCCGACACACTGTATTTACGCAGATAAAGAATGCCCGCATTTTTTTAAATTTTAGGGGCGGAAACGTACACGGTCTAAATACACTATGTCGGACGAAGACAGAAACAGAAACATAATCTTTTACAACACCTTGCCAAAATTAAATGAATTCTACCAGTCAGCTGGGTTTCTTCTTTTATTTTTTAATTGTGGATTTCTCCTAAATAACATCGTTTGCAGCTTTCTTTAGTTTCACATTCTTAATATAAAATCGAATAAAAGAACTGTAGCAGTTGATGAAAAATTACTTAGTAGTAAAATCTACAGCAAAATTGTGTTTAAAATGTGGGTAAAATGAGCAAAATAACCTTTATTTATCTATCATATTTTATTATTTTTTTTTTAATATACGTATATGAAACATGTTTCTAAGTATTGTGTTGAATGAATTTTTCGTTCGTTTTCAGACTGAGAGGCGGAGTGTAACTGCAAAATGCACATTTCCATCCTCCAAAAAATGTACCATTTTAAATATATTTTAAGTTTCATGTTGTGAAAAGAAAAATACGTACATTTTAAAAAAGGGCAAAATATAAGGCCCCGCCCACCCACCTATTTCAATTCTGATGATTTTTTTTATTCTTTGTGAGCCGGGGGTGGAGTTTAATTGCAAAAATCCTTACTTTTTTACAGGAAATTATCATGTGGAACATGTGTTTAAGTAATCGCGTTGTTCAAAGAAAACTATATGTATTACATAAAAAAGGAAAGCAAAAGATTAAGCGCCACCTATAACCGCCCAGATCTCAACTGTGATGAATTTTTCATTTGTTGTCAGACCGAGGGGTGGAGCATAATTGAAGGGTGTTGGGAGAAAAAAATTAATGTCACATTTAATTTTTTTTTTAGTTATTAATGATTTTACACAAATTCAGTGAGTATTTTTTTTAAATGTTGTAAAATGGGGAGGAAACATTGATAGTCCTTAATGATATTACAAATACAAAAATCTTGTGTGGGAGAAAACATTTGATGTTCACGTAGAACTTAAACAGATGGATAGAAAACAATAAATGTCACACCGAAATCTAGACAAAAAAACAAAACTCCACCACCGCTTTTGAATTTCATTGTTTTTTTTTTTTGTTTGATGAAGATTGAATTTTACTGCGTCAAGTGGCGAATTAGGCTTAAAAAATTCGAAGTGGCCCCGCCCACCCACCCGGTTTTCTTTTTGGTCACTCATTTTATTGGACGAAAAGTGCATTTTATATTGAACAACAGTGGAATCTAAACAAAAACCTACAACTAACCCCACCCACCTTCGGTTTTGAATTTCATTGGCTTATTTGATTAGATGGAAATTGAATTTTATTTTGTCATGTGATCGAATCTCTTTATAAAAATTCAAAGTCGCCCCGCCCACCCACCCAATTTTCCTCTTGATTACTCATTTTATTGAACAAAAAGTGGGTTTTATGTTAATAAACATTGGAATCAAGACGAAAAGGTAAAACTAACCCCACCCACCTCCGCTTTTGGATGTCATTGGTTTTTTTGATTAGATGAAGACTGAATTTTACTACGTCAAGTGGCGAATCAGGCTTAAAAAATTCGAAGTGGCCCCGCCCACCCACCCGATTTTATTTTTGGTCAAAGAGTGCATTTTATATTGAACAGTGGAATCTAAACAAAAACCTAAAACCAACCTCACCCAATCTTACAATATGAGGTTTATTGTTAGCTAATTGTACTTGACGGCGTTTTCCTATAGATAAATATATGGACAGAACAGAGACCCGGACATTCACAGTTTTCTCCCAACCGTGTCGGTACTTCGTTCAAATTTTCATTTTCCTTTTGTTTCTTGTTCAATGTTCATACAAAATAAAGTGTTGTTCGATTTGAACAATTTTTGTGTAAACTATGAAAATATGTATAATGTGCGACAATTTAAAAAAAATAGACTTTCAAAGATTACATTTTAAATACCTCGATTTTTATTCAATGTGACATTCATTGCTTTCTCCTGACCCCCTTCAATTGCAGAATCCATATTTCCCAACAAAAATTTACGATTTTGAATACGTTGAAGTTTCTTCTTACGAAAAGAATACGTATTAAAAATATATATATAATATATATATATATAAGCCCAACCCACTCAGCCCGACCTCAATTGTAGTGAATTTTTTATTCGTTGTCAGATTGAGGGGCGAAGCATAATTGCAAAATCCACACTTTCCTCCAAAAATTTACCATTTTGAACACGTTTAAAGTTTCTTGTTGTGAAAAGACTTCGTATATTAAAAAAAGTAAAATATAATTTTTCATTGCTTAGTCTGACTTTGTTCTTATGGCATTGCAATCTCAATTACTGCAAGTATTAGGAACTCTATTGAAAATGTAAATAGCTGTGCCATAAATCATCTTGCGGATTTACGGGCCCATACGGCTCTGTGTAGTGCAGACAGTTGGTCTCTTGATGGTTTATGACCGCTGGATTACTTGAGGCAGAGGCCTATTATGGAAGACTTAAGGGTGCCCAGTAGCAGACCGAAAAATGAGCTAAATAGATTTTCATTTTACGGGCGTAATTTCAACTTTGAAAAAAAGATCGACATTTCAATTGATAGATTATGTCTAAATCTCTGGGGAAGACACAATATTTTTTTTAAATAAGTGATTGTTTAGTGTTTAATTAATGATTCATTCTTCGAAGGAAATTGCATTTTTAGACGAGGAGAGAGCATTTTTCGCTTCAACTTTTATATCAGTGCAAAGACAACATTGAGCTCTATGGGGAAGACCCGGTCATTTTTGTTTAAAATTTATATTTATCAAAATATGTTTTTTTAAAAAATACTGAATAATGAAAATAAAGTGAAACTAAGCAACCCTATTTACAAAGATCCGTTTCAATAAAAGGTTGAGTTTTACACAGCAGGGAGCCTTGCCGACCGACCCTTTCAGGTAATCAGTTCAGGTACTTTCGGTCATAAAACTCATAAATACTCTTAGCTGACCAACATTGTTGAAACTCTTTTACAAATCGCCTTCTTTCATTGCTGACATAATTTGATTTAAAAGTATGCAAATTTTTATAATTTTATACATTCTACTAAAATATTTTCTTTGAAAAAATTATTCAAATATTTTTTATTAATCTGTCATTTTATATATTAATCAATACACAAAACTGACAAGATTTAGATTCTCATCACTTCACTATAAGCACTTATTTACCTGAACAATCATATTTATTTAAATTTAATTTTTTGATACTCTTTTCCGCACCACCTATGAGGTAGAGTATTATAGGCACGTTTTTTACGTGATATCTCCAGTAAACCTATTTCAATATTACTATTTATTCCTGTGTGTGTTTATACTAGAAGGACAAAAGATTTATATGAACTACACATGACGCGAATGCAAATAAAAAATTTTAATTGTACAATTTTTTCTTTACAATTTGTCTAATGGGTTGACTTGTTAATAACGAGAATCTACTCTCTCCTGAAGTAAGGCATATAAATAAAATTTTTCTAGGGCTCTATCATACTGTTTTCCCAAAATTTATCATCTCGTTGAATTAAGCATTATTTAAATTGGACATTTTATATATTTCTACGATAGCGTTTTTGTTTATTAAGCTTCTGGCGACGCCGCTAAAAATGTACAAACCGCATTGTCTTATTGTCAGTTTGGTGTTACTGCAAAATGCTTCAGTTGCCCTTGCTTCATTTTCTATGCAAAGATTTTGGGAGAGTACATGCTGAACTAGATTTGCAGGGATGTAAAATGTTTTTCACAGTACAGTAGGATTAGCCGTGTTACTTGTTCTCTCATTTTGCAAAATTTTACCAAAATAACGTTCGGTTAGTCTAAAGGATTTTTCTGCGCACCATTCTGGATTATTGCGTTCGCCAATTGTGTTTTGTTCGATTAAAAAGACACGACGTTTGAAAGTTTTTTGAGAAATATTTTTTACATCGTCACCAGAGAACTTGTATGATCCACAGACCGGAGCGCGCTCAGGCCAATTTCGACTCTATAAGCCTCCAGAAATTCTGCGGGAAATAGTTATTATTTAGATGCTTTTGTTTACATACATCTCACATGTTTCACTCGATTTTGACATGCAACTATTTTTTTGTTTAACTAAGAATTAATTCTTTCATTGCGTTTGATACTAAGGTCCGAAATTAGCAATACTAGTGGAACAGTAATCATGCAATAGATTTTTTTGGGAAAGTACAGTTATTTTTATTTTTTAGCAGCAATGTGTTCTATTTTCTATTAATTTTTACATATTTTTAGTCACAATTTTGGTAGTTATTTTTTACTTTTATTTTTAGCAATAATAAATAGTTCAAACATGAAAAAATCAAAAAAATAAAAATAGGAAAATCTAAAATTTATAAATCGAGAAATTGAACAATCGTATAATTGAAAAATCGAAACATCGAAAAACTGGAAAATCGAAAAATAAAAAAAAATGGAAAATCAGAAATTTAATAAATTCCGAAAATTGAAAAACTGAAATATGCATAGAAGAACTGAAAACACGAAAAATCGAGAAATCTAGAATTTTAAAAATTGAAAAATTAAAATATCGAAAAGTTGAAAAATCGCGAAATCGTATCAGTGAAACATCGGACAATCAAGAAATCGAAAAATAAAAAAATGGAGAAATCGAAAATTTGAAGAATGGAAAAATTGAAAACGTCAAAAATTAAAATATTGAAAAAGTGAAACATCAAAAGTTGAAAAATCGAAAAACCGAAAAGCCGAAAAATCTCAATAATGTATTTATAAACCACAAGTTCAGAATTATGCTACTAAAAAATTGATAACGTCATCTCAAAATTTGGCCGAATAAATTCTACTAAAAATGTGCAAAATATGATGAGTTTTTACTTGTAATTTATCATTGCATTAATATTTTTTAGATTTGCTCATATACCTAGGTGGCTCAAAAAAATTAATGAATGAGTCAATTTATTCTATTGATTAAATCAGGAACGACTCACTCCATTTTCCCAGAAATTTTGGGAATACTGTTATTTTTAGTCTAATCCACATTGATTTACGTATCCTTGCAAAATGTTGATGATTTCATCACAAAATTGTGTACCTAAAGTAAAAATTTAACTCGAAAATGTTGGATATGTTTCATTGTATTTTAGGTGCGAGGGAAGTTGTGCGGACACAACTTTCCACTAAATTTTTTTGCTGTTATATTTGAACATAAATAGTTTATTTTATATATTTTTAAAACATTATAAAGAAAATAAAAAGTTGTATTAGACTGAACCTTGTGGGTTTCTCAATCTATTTTCCGCAGCATTTTAAACTTTCAACTCAATTTCTTTCAAAATACATACAAATGGATTTCGATGGTTATTTCCCTGTATCCTTCATTTGAAAATAAATAAGCTTATCTGGTGGTATTTACCGATTTGCATTTTATGACGGACTCCCTACAGTGACCATAATCTCTCGTGTTTTTGGGTCGGTACTTTGGGTTGCATAGTTACAAAAAATAGTTCTCACTGGAACCGATTTTGCGGGCGACGACTGGGGACCCTTAACTCCTTCACAATAGTGTGCAGTCGTAAAAACGAACCAGCACTTGGAACACTATACTATTCGTTCCCAGGTAATGATCAAATCAAGATTAGACCCTTCGAGATGTCATAAATCATCTGGAATCTGTATACTTGGTCGCTTGATTCTAACAAAATCTTGCAATTTATTTCCCCTATTTTTTTGCAATAATTTAAAAAGTTATAATTTTAAAGGCAAATAGTGCTCAATGCGCAACAAAATTCTTTACAAACCTATGTATGTTTCACATCAAAATAATGTATTATCTTCATACAAAACGATGTGATTTTTTTTAAGAAAAACTACATTTCTTCCCCATTCACCAATTTTCAAATAATATTAGGCTCCGAATTTCAATGGTTTGTTCATAAATTAGAAAAAAAATGCAATTTGTTCATAAGTTGCAAAACAAAAATCGTAAATACTAATATGGTTACACGATTTTTATAAATGGAGGCTAATGTACTGTTATTGAGAAAACACTCCTGCTCACAGCATCTGAATATATTTATTACATAAAAAAAAACGTATATCAGAAATACCACTATATCGCATTAACTTTACATCATAAAAAACCAGTGGCGGCACTAACTTGGTAATTCAATCGCCTACAAAATATAGTTACGCGAATTTGAAGAACTTTGAATATTGTTTTTTAAATCCCAAGAGGTAAACCGCCGTTGTTTAAAAATAAGTATGTTTAAGTGTAAAAAAACAGAGACACCACAAAACTTACCCTTGTATCTACATCAGGAGCAATTTTTTTGTATTGCCTCATTCTGCTGGTGTGGATATTAAGAATCTCAACTCTACCTTCTTCATTTGGTAAACTGATTTCAACTTGTACTTCTAACCTACCAGGTCTAAGTAAAGCGTCATCAATCATGTCCCTTCTGTTGGTCATTCCTTTCATTTATTCAAAATTAAATGCAATTAGTCTAAACTAAAGAAAATCAACAAAACTAGGCGACACACAATACAAATCGCCAGTTTCAATGTCACCCAGACTACAACTCACCTATGACCAGTATATTATTGAGTTGTTCTACACCATCGATTTTCGACAATAACTGATTGACAACAGTGTCATGTACACCTGTATTACCAGCCACTGACCCTCTTTGCTTACAAATGGCATCAATTTCATCAAATATGATAATATGCAAACCACTATTTGGACCAGCCTACAAGAATTTTGTTAACACAATATCAGTACACCAATGATTATAAAATTACGCGTTTCTCTTCTTCTTCCGCTTCAGCAAACAATCGTCGAATATTTGCCTCTGATTCGCCCACATATTTGTCCAAAATTTGGGGACCGTTGACGATTTTTGGTTCACGCGCGTTTAACATTTTTCCAATTTGGCGAGCCATTAGAGTTTTACCAGTACCAGGGGGGCCATACAAGAGTATACCTTTGACGTGTTTGCACCCTAACTGTTCTACTATTTCAGGTGGGAATACTCTGGAAGCAAACGCCCTTCTGAAAATCGCGTTGAATTCTTTTCCTAAGCCTCCAATGCCGATTTTTTGGAAGTCCCAGTCAGGGTTGATGATGGACTGGCGTACTTGTTTGCTAAAAATACTGGGTCAGGTTTTTGCTAAATGATTGAGTGTAACTTGTACCCTTTGGATTTTCCGACGAGGTTTAGCGAGGAAGTTTCGGCTTTTTCAAATTGTATTATGGTGTTGGGGGTTAATTTTCCTAGTTTGCCTTTTCTAGGTTTGGCTTCGCCCCCTTGTTTAAATGAGTTGATATTAACCACTACAATTATTACATTTTAAGTGTTGGGGTAGAAGTACTGATTGTTACATTTACCTTCAACATCTTTAACTGAAAGTATTAGTAACTTCTTATCTTTAAAAGCGAACGCTAATTGTTGCTCAACTGTGAACATTTGATTTGGGAAGGAATAAAGAAATTCTTTGGCCATTTCATCAGTGTCATATTGTTCTTGGGAAGTACTACAATTCATTTGTGTTTTATGTAACAGGTAATTAGATAAGTCATACTTACATTTTCTTTTGCATATAATCCGCCTCGAGAACGATCGACGTAATATAATCCTCTTCTTTGTACGGATTAACTTCGATTTCTTGGTTAATGGACAAGATGGCCCACTTCCTTTGTGGTAAACTAAACCCAACTTCATGTCTTTGTACTCTTGAATCTTTCTTTATTGAAAAAATGTACTTCTGATTACCCCCCGTAACTACTTCAACGTGTCTGATATTCCAAACATTATCATTAGAATTATTAATAAGCACTAGCTGTCAAACTTACTCGGTAGCTTGTGAAAAATCTCCATCATTCACTACAGCACAGTTTGTTAATGACAGTTCGTCTGAGGGGCACTTGGATACCCTGAATAACTAAAATAAGAAATAAATGTAAGCTTTCGCACTTCGTATGAGCTATAAAAAGAACTAAATGCAACAATTATTTACCATTTTTGTGTTCTTATGTGAATGTTACAACGTGAAACTTCGGTTTAAACTAACTGCAATGCAGGTTTCAGTGAAAAGCTGGGAAAATCAATACTTTTGATGGGACTTTCACGAATCAACATAACCTCACTTTACGTCTGTTGTAATCACAGCCGCGGTCACAAATTTGTCAAGATTGCACCATCACTTAAAAAAGCGGTTGCTTTTTTGTTATTAATTATACAAATATTCTATGACTAAAAGAATAGCTATTTATTGCAACAATGATGACAATTGTGCGGAGTGTATTGCTGGTTGCGTTTTTAAAAATGACTAATCAAACCTTAATTACTATTCTTATCGACATATAGCAACAAAGAATTTAGTTTTTCTCGAATTCTGTACACTTACTGCTAAGATTATTCTTTTTGAAGCACCCAAAAAACAAGTTATTACACAAGTGAATCGATCTTCTTACATAACACATGTAATAATTATTCTTTTATTAACAGTAATAATAAATTAATATCACACTACAATTGTTACGAGCATTTTAACGAACTAATGGATTCATTTAAATATTAAATCCAGCTTTCCTCATGCACTCTTTATGCGCCTCGATTAAATGTTGACAGTTCTCTTCCCCATTCTCAATAATGCTAAAACAGCACAATAAACACAAATTTCTCTAAAAGTATGTAAGAAATACCATGCATCACGTGCTTTTTTCGTTTCAGGGCATGCACAGCACGGTTTTAGCTTCTTTGGGTTCTCTTGGGCTGCAGGTTGCTGCGTAGATGCAGCTTCAACTTTTTCATTGATATTCCCCATATCTAAAACAGTTTGTTTTAAAAAGGTCCCAGAATTGCAATTTACTACCTTTTTTGTTTAAATATTTCGCAGAAACTGAATAAAATTGAAACAATTTCGGTCGGTATTAAACAATCTAACCTCACTTTTTTCCACCGTGAGTGACATTGCCGTGACCTGCGCATTAGAAAGTCTGTTCAAAATAAATTTTGGAAAAATTTTGTTTTTTTTTTGGGAATTTAAAGTCGAAGAATGTTTTATTTTCATGTTACAAGCCAAATTTGTCGCAGAAATTTTGAAATTTTAATTTTTATCAATGCGTGTTGTCTAGAATTTAGCACAGCTCTCGCAGATCCGTCAAATACATAACTTTCACTTCTTGTAATTCAAGTTCGTGATTTTCTAAGGAGATTCGAAAATTTTTCAAAGCTTCACTTTCACAGCACTTTCGACTTCTTGCATTAATGTTTGGAGAACGGGATAAAGTAATAAAAAAACGTATATTACTAAAGATAATAATTTATTAATTTTGTACAAATAAAATGTGAATACAAAAACAACTTGTATGATTTTCTGTTTTATTAGAAGTAATACGCTCAATATTAACAAAAATCAGTCAAAGAAATAGTACACACTATGGAACAAAACACTGCACACAGTAAGATATAAAAATTGTCTCTTATTCCACTCACAATTCATCATGATCGGATTCCTGAAACAAAATCTGTCAGATAAACCAAAAACAACTCTCTTCCTCGACTCACCTCTACTTGTGGCACATGTTCTTCTTCTTCATTATCATCATTATCTTCATCATCGTCGTCGTCATCCTCATTGTCATCCTTCTTCTCTTCAGCAGCAGCTGCATCTTTCTCTGCTTTATCTAAATCTTCTTTAGATTTCTTCTCTCCATCTTGTCTTTCTTTCAATCCAGAGATGGCTTCTTTCGCGTACTCTACATCATCCGTGACCAGCACGTTATCGAAAATCGTTCCCGACTTAACCTGCCACAAATCGAACCCAACGGCGCAAATTTCCTTCTGTTTGTACAACTCCGAATCCGGAGTATACTCAGGATTATCGATTTCGGGATGGATCCACGGCCCTTTGTAAGCCGGATTGTCTATCTGCTTAGGTTGCCATTCCCCTTTGTACTCTGGGTTATCAATCATAGGCGGCTCCCATTCCCCGTCCATCTCGTCGTCCCAATCATCGGGCTTGGTGGCTTCAGGATCAGGGATGTGTTCAGGCTTGTCCCAGTCCTCGGGTTTGGTGTCGTCCGGATCGGGAATCGTCGAGCGATCGTCCCAGTCCTCGGGCTTCTTGGCTTCGGGATCCTTGATCCTCTTGGGCGGCAGAAGGTCCCAATCGGCTTCCAATTCGCCGCTTTCGACCTTCTCGCCGTCGATTTGGACTTCGTAGGTGTTGTCTGGCTTGATGATGAGGGTGTAAGCGTGTGTGTAAACGTCGTCTTTGCAACGGATTTCTTTGTTGATGAGTACGTTCTTGTCTTTGTAGTTGAGGATTACGTGAACTTTCTTTGTACCGGGTCCGCAGATGTCAGGACCGAACATTACACGGTATGGCGATTCGCCGTGCATGTCTTCTTGTTCGAGCGAACAATCGAAGACTTTTACGTAGCCACCGCCGCAATCTATGTTCTGTTCGTGTTTGACTGTGAATTGAATTACTAAATCTTTGTTTTCGGTGGAGAAGGGCTTGAATTTGCGGCTCAGGGCGTAGAAGCGGGCGTCTTGGGACGTCTGAATACCTGATAAGAAAGGGAATGAGATTCTTTATTCAATTAACAACAAGAAAATGTATTATTTAAGAAGGTACAGTTTATGAGAAAGTTAGTTGCTCAGCTGCAAAACACGTCACATTTTTTTAATACGGCCAATTACACAATTTTAAGACTCATTCAGGGTGAGTCACCATTATGAAATATCCACAATCTTGAATTTTTATGTTACCATAATTTCCGAGTAATGACACAAAATCACATATCATAACATAAACGTTAAACTTGTTAAATTATTTAAAATTTATTTATAATTTGATCTTATTGCCATCGACCGACCAAAAGTAGATAACAATGTGCAGTAAAAGCCAAGTACGATGACAAATTGTGTTACATACAATATTAAAGTTAAAAATACTGTCGCCAAAGTCCGATCAAAATAACTATTTTTGTAACATAATGGAGTGTTCAATATAAAAAAAAGTAGCTGAAAAGGCACGTGTTTTTTAATCACACTGTTGACACGTGACGACATGTTGAAAAACGTTAATTTTATTATCCGAAAAAGTGAGGTTATTGTAGACATACTTCATATTGTTTACAAAAAAATTAGTCAATCTGATGACTTTTTCAATGGAACACTCGATGTGGATAAGTAAACATTTTACGTAATAATAACCTACTTTTAAAACATACTGTAACAGTCAACAGAAAATAACAAGTACTTTTAATTTTTTGTAACATTAGTAATAAGGTTGCATGTATTAAAAATAACAGGTTGAGGCGGCAGCATGGGAAGTTAAACAAGTTATTTAATTTAAATAACTTTTACCATATATGGAAGTCCCCACAAGGACGCTATATGCAACAATATGTATACCAACTTAGTTAAATGCTGAAATTTAGAAAAAGTATGCAGCAGCAAAATAATAGTGCAGAGTTATTTAGACAGAACTTATCTTAAAATATAAATAGGCATGTTTTAAATAGGTTTTTCCACAATAAAATTTCGTGATGACGTCATCAAGTTTGTGGAGGGGATACACAAATTAATTCTTTTACCATTCTTACGACAGCTTTAAACGTTTGCAAGATTTCAGAGCATTCAGTTTTGAAGATCCTAAATTAAATTCTGAAATATTGTTATAAAACTTTTATTGTTCCCAAAAATCTGGACGTAAATTTTATAAAATTTAAATAGTATTTATTTTGCAAAATTTTTAGATGACGTCATCAAATTGTTGGTTTGGTGATCAGACAGATAGACGGAAATGGGACATCTACTTTTTCATAGTCTACGCCTTCGCAATATATTTTTTCTAAAGTTGCCAAATGGTTCCATACTTTTTTTAACACTTGTGCGCGACACTTGCATTCAATTTTTTATTTTTAATTTAAACACAGCAACGAAATAAACTTAAAAAAATACGATTGTCAACATTTTCAAAACAATTTCGGAATTAAGATATAATAGGGAACTCTGGTAATTTAACGGCCATGCACGCAACTTTCACTTAAATTGTACGTATTTATTTTTCACGTAAACGCCCTCTTAAACACACAATTTAATGCAAAAAGAACTTCTATTTTTCGCGAACGGACGTCAAAACAAAGAAACCAAATCAATTTTTAGCAGAACTATTTTAGTTTCTCGTTACGTTACACAGAACAAGCGTGTTTATTTACAGCGAAACGCGTGTTCATTACATAATTCAATCAGATTTGAACACTTATGTAGCTAATCAATAAAACATTGCCGATAACAATCTGTTCGAGTTTTATTGATAATAAGAGCTCACCTCTGAACTGTCATTGAAAATTCTTATCGCTGATGAATGTGTACATAAGGTAAAACTTATCTGTGGTGTATGGTTGTTAACATAATTTACGCGCCCTGTATATAATTTAGATAAGAATAAAAACTTATCAGAAGTCATTTTTTAACGGTTTTAGTGTGGATAAATTAATATATGTACATGTAAAAAAACAAACAGTAGCCGAATTTAAATGTCTGGAAATCATTAACCGTGGGTTTTTTATTTTTAATGAATATATGATGTGCATACCCTTTGAACGTAAGTTACCTTCACTACTAGAGGTCACTCATGTAATTTTAAATACATAATTATAAAATCGTTTAAGATGGTTTTAACTAATTTGATATTTATATTATTCACAAAACACAAAGAACAAGTTTTATCAGTAAAGATCAATAAAAGTAACCTGTTTTCATATCCCATTAATGTTCATACAAAAAATGCTTACAAACGTTCAAAAACCCCTCTCAACTTCATCCAGGAAATGACACATTGTGGACATTGACATTATGTAATTTTCTATATTATTTTATGCTCGATTTGTCACGTCGTGTAATGTAGCTCTACGACTACCCCAAAACCTGAATTTCCCTCATTTTCCTCCAAATCTACCACCAACTTCCCCTATTACCTTTATCATCTTCTGCATTGTTGAAGAACTTTCCTGCTGTCCAAGCAAACTTCCCAAACTCCTTCCCTGGATGCTTACTGTACACCCAAGTTTTCTCCCAGGAATCTGAAAACAGGAAAATGAGCAATTTTCCCGAACTTCCTGTACCGGCAATAACCCGTTCAAAACCCCCTCGCAACTTACCATCTTGGAATTTTTCTTCAAGATATACTTCAGCATTTAATGCATAAAAATATGCACTCAACACAAACACAAAAATCTGCGCCTTCATTTTATAAACCTACTAAAAATATTAATTCGGCGACGTCAAATTCTCGCCACGAATCTACCGCAAATGCCAGAAAAATAGTGAGAGGGACGTATACAAACACCCGTAATCGCTTATCAAAACAGCGGCTGTCTGCGTTTAACACACGGCATAAAGAGAGACGTTCGAGTCGAGTACGTCGACACTTTATCGATAATTCGACAGATGGAAGGCTCTGATTGGTGGACGACCAACACGGTGGAAACTCCGGATTGCAAACGCAGGACTCTTATCTTTTTCCAACTCGAGCAGGAACCAATAAGTGCAGTGCTAACGTGTACTTCCCTTCCTCGGGATTAGTGTACAGTTGGAGAGTTGTGATTGGTTGATTTCGAGTGCTTGCGAAACGTGGCGCGTATTCAAATTTGAATTGTTTTGTTCTAATCTCGGTTTCTAATCAGTGATTAATCTTCGCTTTATCTTACGTGTTGCGGAAACAATTTCCTTGAATTTCACCATTTCGCAAGTCCGTTTTTCGATTTTTGCGTTTTTTCGAATGGAAAATAAAGATTTGGGGCGACTTTTTGCGTCCGCGAATCGCCGTACCATTTTGCTTTTCTCAAGAATAAATGGGTGTTTATAGTATGTGAAATTGCGATTTACGACTTTGCTGAATATTTGTATGGGCGTTGTTATCTGTAATTTCTTAATACTCACCTTAAAACAATCGATTATTTGGAAGAAAATGACGGATTACCTCATTTCGTATCGCAGTTTCAAATCTACCGCTTCTGTATACAAGGAAAGTAAAAAGATCAACTTTGAAAACAAAGAAATAAACTTGATCGCCTACATTTGAAAGTAAAAGTTCAGTAGAGTGCATTAAACACAAACGAAGTACGTTCTTCCAAGAAACAACATGTAAAAACGTCCGAACAAGGGTAAGTACTTAAAATTTTTACATAAAATGAGTTTATTTAGTGTAAAAACTCACAACGGTGTAAGCCTCGAGTGAAAAAAATTGTGTTAAAGTCGTTTACCTTGAACTAGCAAAGACATAAAGAAGTGAGTTACAGTAACTTAAGTCATGTTACCTTCCATTGATCTCTTGCTATATTTATAACAAAAATATGAGGTAAGTTTTAAAAATAGCATAAAATAGTGTTTTTCTTTCATCATCTGTGACAACCATCATCGAATAAAAAAAAATTTACATCAATAAAATCAACAAGATGTTGAACGGCTCGAAAGTAAGTGCAATTTCACCTTTTATCTATCATTTTCTTGAATATCATGCTCATTTTTTATTAAAATGACATGAATAAGGTGATATAAAACTAGACAAGTATATAACTTTCTAAATTATGTACGTTTTGGTGAAAAGCATTTGGTGAATTTGCATCGATGTTGAGCGGTACTGTGTGTTTTTGTGTTGTTTCAGTTCTACTTTCGTTTTAATTAATTTTTTGTGTATTTTTCCAGAGTCAGTTATGAAAAATGTCTTCAGTTAACGACAGAAAAATAAGAGATGTGCGTGATATTTGGAACTGTAACAAAGAAGTGGAAAAGGAAAACCCGCGTGTTCCCGTCGTCGAAAACAATGTTGATAACCGGACCAAACACAAATACAAGACTTTGGAGAGGCACCTTAGTATGAAAAAGACTATTAGGAAGAAAATGATGCGAGACTTGAGGGAGATCGGGGATGCGGGCGTCGAACCCAATTCGCAGACCCAGAACGCCGGATTTTTAGAACAAATTAAGAACGACCAACCTCCGCCTGCCAACATAGACAAACCTAGTTTATGGAAAAGACTTACTAAAGGATGGGGTCATACTTAAGCGATTCGTGACCTGTTTGTGATTATTTATATGCTTCTCCAGCTTTCTTAAATGATTTACAAACAGTATTTATAGTGTGAATTAGCTTAATTTAGCTTTAAGGTTTCGCTGTTCCTAAAAAGTATTTTCTAATAGTTGGATAACATAACTATAGTTGCAGAATAGGGTGTTATAACAGAAGTATTTATTTTATAGTATGTTACCAGGTTTCCTTGTTGTATATAATGAACTCTGAAAGAAACGTTATCAAATTAACGAATTTATATTTTGTTAAACTACAATTATGTTACGTTCTCTGCTATTAATTTTTGTTGGGTGGATGTATGTTCACTTCATGTCGCTTTAAATACATAGCTGTTTGATTTTATTGTGCACGTTCCAATAAAATACTACAAAACGAATTTTAAACAGTCCTCATTTTTTACAAAACCTACTTTCCTTTCGATTTGTTTTTCTAGGTATGGGTACGTAAACAAGCAAAAAATAAAAATAAACAAAATAGCCTTTAATTGTAACAGTTTCACTTCCATCACCAATTAAATGTCACAGAGGCTTACTCCACGTAAGGTTAATACTAAAAATAATATTAATAACAACGAAAAATGAAGCTCACCCTATTACTAACAATAAAAATTGAAAACACTCGCTAAATACATTTATTAATATATAATAAAACTTATTCGTTAATTTTAAATTTTAAATTACTTTTGATATGTTTTCAAAAATAAAAGATATAAGACTAGACGTTTTCATAAAAGTTTCAAAAATATTTCCGTGCGTGATTTATTGTCATTTGGCTCTTTGAAAGCACTTTGGCTATTTCAGGAAAGCTCGTCACCTGCAATAGTCTAATATTTTATTAAAAAGACTTGAAAAATATGATTCTGTCACCATTACAAGATTATAAAATTATTCCGTAATAATGTGGAGACAGTAAAATAACCTATAATGCAAAATAGACCCTGACCTCCTATACACATATTCCAGTATTTCGCAGCTTTCTTTATGATTGCAATTAACAATTATTGTTATAGATTTATGCAGATATTTTAAACCTTCTGCATATATATCAAGTAATAAATCAGTAAGTTTGTTATACAATATAATCAACTGACTTAAGTAACTTTTTTGTTCTATTTGCTCGGAATAAACGCTACCGTATTATCTATTCACACATTAAGATATGCCAACGCTGTAACTTACGTCAAAAATACACATGGCAACACCAAATAACGATAATTAAGAGAAAATAGAAAGTTACATTAAATTTTATTGTAAAGCCAGTTAAGCGCATGGCAGAATTAAAAAAAAAAGCTACTCCTATAATTTATTCTCGTATTTTACAACAGAGGAAATTTATTCAGTTAAGATAATAAAAGGGCAACTTTTATTTAAATGTGAACAGGAAAAATTATTAATCTCAGCGAGAAAAATAACATTCAGCAAATGTAAGTACAGCAAATATTTACGAAAGTTATTTATAACAGTTAACAAACGTTGGTTGCAATAAGCAAAAATACGAAAGAGATAAAAAAAAAGTTATTTGGCACTTGGTAGAATTATAGCTTAGTTTTGGTAAGTTAGTGTTGTATTTAACTTAATTCCAGAAGTGCTTTTGGAGTAATTTTAATTCTTTTTTAATAACATTTAACGTACTACATAACAACCTACCAACCAAGGAAACGTAGGTGAACGGCATTGTATGTTTACAACGGTCCAAATACTGTTCAAATTAAAAATTTAACATCAATCGATTTTAGCATTAATAAAAATGATTACAGAAACTATAGATATAATTCGCTATGAATTTAGAACAATAAAATTGACATTAGGTTACCTTGAGAAACGAATTAATAGATTACTGAAAACTTAAACCTTATCTCATATTGAAATGGTTATCCTAAAAATCGTTGAAAAATCCACGTGTTTTTTTTTTATAAAATTTGTAAAACATTAAACAGTTAAAAACAAAATATACATATAAAAAATTAATAGAAACTACTTCAGTGTTGCCACTGATTTTTTTTACAGCAAGAGTTACAATAGCACCAATTATCACACATTTCCCTCTTCTTTGACGCCAATCAAGGTACGACCGTTTACCCGCACAAGCCTGAAACTTACTCAACTTACGCCTAAACAATCATTACGTAAGTTAATTACAACACGCTAGATAAACTGAATAAGAAAACTGCAACATCCCGCTATGATAAAATAACATTTTCCATCAAAAATAGTTACAGGCTGCACTCCAGCCTTGGCAAAGTCATATAAAAAATACATAATCTAATTCCCCTAAGTTTACTCAGCGTTAAGACCCAAACTGCTCCGTTACTTCTTCCATTGGTTGGAACGTGTACCCTCCCCTCCCGTCTAAATGTAAAACGAACTCATGATGTTGCCATAGTGATTTTCTGTGCGAAACCGTCAACAGCGTAATTCCGACTTCCCTACAATACTTATACATGCTCCCCTCCACATCTACGGAAACGGCGCTCGTGCATTCATCCAAAATCGCAAACTGGGGTTTATGGTAGAAGAGTCGCGCCATGGCGACTCTCTGCTTCTCCCCACCACTCAACACGTCCAACCAATCGGCGACGGCGTCCAAGCCACCCTCACGTTCCAACAAGTAACCCAATTGCGCTCTTTCTAAATGTTCAATTAGTATTTTATCGGTAGCGCCTCTTCTTAGAGCTTCGGAACCCGAATGGGGATAAGTGAGTTGGTCCCTCAGCGACCCCAACGTCATATACGGGCGCTGCGGGATGTAAAATAGCTTTCCACGTGGAGGTTTCGTTAGTTCTCCACCGAAAAGTGGCCACAGTTCGCCCAAAACTCTGAAAAGTGACGATTTTCCAGCACCGTTTGGTCCACAAACTAACACGTTCATTCCAGATTTGATGTCGAAGGAGATTTCTTTGATGAGGACGTCGCCGTTGGGTGTGATCAAGGGTACGCGATCAAATTTGATCACGTTATTCTGGAAGATGAATTTTCCTCCGTTCGCTTGCAGGTTTTCGGCACCTACAACCATCGTTCGTTCGTATCTACCCTGGTTGAGCTCGTCTAAGACTTGTCTGAGCTGGGTGACGCGAGCTGTGAATCCGGCAAGTCTCGTCAATTCTCGACCCGCTAGAACCAGACGTCCTATGGCTTCCGCCAGTTTCACCAACATTCGCCCGTAAGTGTAATACAATCGAGATCTTTCTCCTTGCTTGGAAGACGACAGGGAGTGAGAACGTGACATGAAAGGTAAAGACACAGCCCAGAAACCCACAACGCTGGCGAAATACTTAGCAACTAAATTATCGACAATCCCCATTAGAACCCTAAATTTCAGGAACTTCTTCAAGTGGTTGAGTAGCTTGTTGTAGCTCGAAAGTAGGGTTGCTTTCTCGCGAACGTTACCATTGTAGAAAGCAATTTCCTCCGAGTGGGTTATCAATCGTGCGTTGATATGTCGGAATTCGCCCTCTAGTTTTTGTTCGCCGGCGGTTAATCTAGCTGTAGGTCTTCGCAAGTGCGTCAACAACATCCCAGACAAAAACAAATACCCTAACATCAAACTAGGCGTTCCTCCACCTAAAGTCGCAGACAACTTGTATACATATATGCCAATGTCGAGCAGCGGTTTCGCGGTATTACAATAAAGATCTGAAACGCTTTCGCAGAATTTGTCCACGTCAGTGGTGAGGAGCTGATCAGCATTAGCAATACGATTGTCGAGGTTTGACATGCGATAATACGTAAAATTCTTGAGATAATCTTCGTATAATCGCCGTGTCATATTTGTGCGTAATCGTATTTTTAGTTCTCCGATTGAGTATTTTAAGGTGTTGTTTACGACTGATATTAGTGGCAAAGCTACAAGGAACTTGATAAGGCGGCTCTTGAAGAGGTCTTGGTCCATGGCGACGATTGCGCTGAAAAAAAATCAAATAAAATTTACTGTGTCATTATGAGATATGGTTGCGTGCGCTGAACGAAGATTAGTTCCAGCAGGATTACGCAAAATAGGTTATTGTCTGCTAGTGGTGTAATTAAAATTCAAACTCGGTGCAAAAGTACATAGTTCGAATTGGATTATATACCACAATACTTGAGATCTTTATCGCAAAATTAAGGACACCTCAGTAAATAGTACGACCGAGTTACAAAGTTCAATAATTATAGCAATTTCATTATCTTAGTCACCTACTCGTTTAAAATACGATCTTTGCCTCCTATTAAATATGATATTAAATTTGCAGTTTACGGATCCCAACATAAATTTACACTTGACAGGAATAGTTCAGCGACTTTTGTGTATTTTCCCAAAACAAAACCCCACCCAAATAAACTATTTGTGTAATCACGTATCTTATTTCATAGTAGAAAATACCAAATCACTTAAAAAATTCGACAATTTTAATTTTGTAGTACCACGTAAGCGTGACGTAGCTCTACAAAAGTTTGACGAATTGTTGTGAAGCATAAAAGAATCAACTAATCCTTCTACAATTATAAGTATGCATCCTGCTAAAAGTTCACAACAAAAAAAGCAGAACAAGGTCAACAATAAAACTGGAAATGAATGCAATGTTAAATTTGATGGCCGTTAAAAGATAATGCATTTTTTGCAAAAATAATGCCATTTTAGAAGAAAAATCGAATGGGGCAACTTTTGAACTTTCTAAACAAATAATTTATTTGAAAAGCAGGTTCTTAGTCAGTAGTGCTCTGTCTCAGCTTAAGGTGTGGAAACCTTAACACCATTTACGATAACAACTGCTCATAAAATTCTAGTGACACAACATGCAAACAAAAAAATTAATGTCGATTGTCCCCTCACAGTTATAATGAAACGACAACAATCAACGCGATAAAAAAATAACCCACTTTGAAAATGGACTGGATCGAGTAAATTGTACAGCCACCTACAAGAGACAATAATAAAGTGGATTAAATCAAACCCTAGCCACGTAAAATAAGTATTGTAGATTTTGTCCTTTTACAGGAAACACAGATGGAAGCAGTTAAATGAGATCAAGTTAAACTGTTCCACATGGATTGGCAGCAGATATATCTTGATAATTATTGTATTGGTTGTTTAATGGTAAAGTAGTGTTTTATTTTTAGATTGTTTCTCGATGTAAGTAGTTCTTTACGTGGAGGTAAAAGTGGTTTTAAATAATATGGTACAGTAATAATTGTTTTTTCAAAGTAGTTTAGCTTTATATTGTAGCTATAAAACAACGCAGGCAATAAATTTTTCTAGAATTCTTGCAAATTATTGTTTTAATGAATGTTTCAAAACAATAAAAGTCAATTCCACGATAACAGCTAATTACTGCTTAAGTTTGTTGTTTAGTAGTACAAAAAATTAGCATTTTTTGTGCTGTTGCTAAAATGTTAAAAAAGGCCAATGACGCGCTACATTCACTTTAATGAAGGTGTTGATATTTTCCCCATAACGTTAATTAATATAGTACAATTTATTTTCAATCTAAAATCTACACTGGAATTACAATTTTGCCTTTCTTAACAGAATTAAACTCAAAATTCATACAACGTTTTTGTTATGTCTGGTACTGAGAAGATCTTTTAAATGTAGTTTTGTCTAACAAGTATTCTAACCTCTTCATCGATGGGTTCAATTTCAGGAAAATGAATAATTCTAGGTATAGAACACATTTTTTTTGCCAATTCCATGTAAAATTCTCTTTGGACAATCCAAATCCGACAGCCACAGTGGAAAGTATGTTGTTTTTATGAGAATAATTACTAAAATCCTTCAAAGTATACGTCATACTATGAATTTTATTGCGTCAATGAAATATGTAATTTAGATTTATATTTCCAACTTGCAGTTTGCATAACAATGTTATTATATTTATTTGATTTATGTTTTGTTTATCAATTATTTAATTTCAGTTACTACGGTAAAGTGCAAAATATCGCTGTCTGCAAAAACACAAGCCTTATTATCAAAACCATTATTATTAATCACTAACGCTCAAACAATATTTTTTTTTTTTAGGTATTACCGACACAGTATGGAGGCGAAAATACGTCTTATCAAACAATATACCATATCATCGAAAAAAAGTGGTCGAGGTTATGAAATTAATTTTTAAAATAAAGATGTTGGCAACACCAAAGCGTTCCTTGCTCGGTTTGACAGTTACGGTCAAATAACTGTCAAAAAGACAACGCCAACATCATTTTAAAAATAAATTTCATGGTCTACTAGACAAGTTTTTTTTCGATCATATGGTTGGTACTACCCACTACTGGTTATTAAAATTGCCATAAATTATAGACGAATAAAATCGTGTATTATACCATATATGTAGCAGAAAAGTACTAGGTGTACGTGTTTCGACACCAAGTACCTTTATTAGACCTATTAATTTAATGTTGTCTGTATAACCAAGAGTTGTGGGCGCCTTTTCGACAAAGTTTATTATTCATTCCTTCCAAATGACGTCACCTCAAAAACAAGTACTATATTGTTTACATACATTTTGGTAATGTGTTAACACCTGGTGTCCCAAAAAATTAATCCATCGGCTAATATCTGACAGTAACGTTTTGTCCCCGCCCCAAAATTAATGACGTCACAATAGAAAAATTTAAATACACGTGTCGAGGTATTATTCGATTAATTTCTGAGAGGTTCCTACACAAATTAATTAAATATTAAATTCAAGTATGTACAATAAGTGCATCTTAAAATACTTTCGGAAGAGCTTTTCGTCATTAATTACGACTATTTCCGACTAGGCCAATGATAAAATACCGGTTTTGGCTACGTGCTTGACCAACTAATAGCACTTCCGATAAAGGCAAATAAATTTCTAATACCATTACATAATATCCAAACGTAACAGTCTCATACGGGAAGTACACCTCGTACTACGAAATTCCCAGTTGTTATTTGACGGCTCAAAAAATTTGCATGGAACGGATTTAAGCAAATTTGCATCAATATTAAATTTTAAAATACGGTAATGCGATAAAGTTTGTGACTGACTGGATTTTTCATTTTAATTGAAAGTCAAGGCCGTTACATGGTATATAATGACCTGTCTACATAGTTCGTTGTTATGTAAGTATGTTTTGTTGCTATGATTTACCAACATTAACATTCGTAATTGTAGTTTTCCTTTACACTTGAAATGCAACATTTTTATATATCTACAGGTTTTGATTCTTATAAGAAATAAGAAGTGTTGTTAAGTGAACTGTTACTAACGCCTCTGAATATATGTAATAAGGCATTGTTTTTACACTATTGCCACATATTTGTATAGCGTTATTACCTGACTTTAATGGCAATAAGATATAATTCACAAACTATAACATTTTCATATTCGACAACTAATACAAACCCATTATCTTTTGTTGGCTACACAATTCATCACTGATATACTCGTCACAGTATCTAGTATCATGGACTTTGAGCTATTTTGTTATTAAAAAAAACCGCAACTAGCAGATTACATAACCTCCAAATTGTAGTCTCAACACGTGTAATTACCTTTCAATTTTGGTCCCATTGTCGATCATCCACAAATCACAAACAGACCTTGCAACCAAACTAGCAGCAACTAGTAAAAGAAACCCAGCTTCAGGTGATGTCCATCCTGGCACAACGATCTTCAGTAAAAGCCCAAGTTGTTTCAAAAACTGTCGATCAACTTGAGCTTTAATTTTATTCTCTTTTTTCTCTGAAATAAAGTACTTCACTTCTTCCTCAACTGCCTTCTTCACTTTCTTCCTACAACAAAACAAAAATCAAATCTCCGCCTGCATTATTAAACTGAAGTACCTATTCAAGTTAAGATGATTTCTTCTCCTTTTCGCCAGAAGAATCCATAGGGCTGCTGTGGTTGCCCCTGCAGCAGCAAGGGCATTATTTCTCGTAACAAACTTGCTAAGGTTTGGGGCCATTTTACTTCATTTTCACTTGTTTTCCACTGATTTAAGACACCACACTGATCGTGACCAAGCACTTTTGTTGCCACTCACTCTTCCATACAGACTGACCGCACGAGCTAAGTACGCTTAACTAAAGTTATAAACAATAACTAAAAGTAACTATTGCAGTGACGTCTGATTGGACTTTTGGTAATCACATGATTGTGTTGACTCTTTGCACCGTGCGAAACAGAGACGTAGAGTGTCTGAGACAGAGATGCGGAATGAGGAGATACCCACCTGTGAGAGTTATGATAATTGTGAGATAATGACGTGGGGTTATTATTAGCTAATCGGAAAATAGAAAGTTTCCGGTAATGTTTCGCCTCAGGGGGGCTCTGCACTACCTGGTTGATGCTCATGCTTGTTCCAAACGTTGGAATAGTTGAAAAGATGATGTCACTGCGATAATCGAAACTCCAAATAATTTATAAGTGTTAAAAAGGCAATTTTAAACGGTTTAGTATTAAAATGAAAATTAATGACGTTGACATTTAAGGTTAAGCTTAATTCATGGCCCACTACCCTTTAGTATTTTAGAAAACAATACCAATTTGAGTTATCTGTATAATGAAACAAAACTGTTTGCGTTAGACACAATCAAAATCACTTCTAGCCATTTGTATTCACTCCGACATTGGAAATAATTGACTTAAGCAAAAATTACTGCAAGCGCAGAAAAAAATATATATTTACCGACGTTGCGATTTAAATTTCCGGCGCCGTTCGTCGAATCCACCACCACCAAAATCCCCAACTTTGTTTCCATACCAACATAACAACAACAAAAATTAAATTGATCAAACAAAATAACAAGCGTGATTTTCGCAAAATGAAGATCGAAGAAGTAAAAAGTACGGTAAAAACCCAACGAATAAGTGCCCACAGCCACATCAAAGGTCTGGGTTTGGATGAAAATGGGTTCGCATTACCGTCGGCATCCGGCTTGGTCGGGCAAGAACAAGCCAGAGAGGTTAGGTTTGAATTTTGTGCGTTGTTTGATTAATTTGCGATTTTGTAGGCCGCAGGAATCGTTGTTGATATGATTAGGAGTAAAAAAATGGCCGGACGAGCAGTATTATTGGCAGGCCCCCCTGGAACGGGTAAAACAGCAATAGCTTTAGCTATAGCCCAGGAGCTGGGAAATAAGGTGCCGTTTTGTCCCATGGTGGGGTCCGAAGTGTATAGTTCAGAAATCAAAAAAACAGAAGTTCTTATGGAGAACTTCAGGCGAGCTATTGGGTTAAGAATTAGAGAAACAAAGGAGGTGTATGAGGGGGAAGTGACAGAACTGACACCTGTGGAAACTGAAAATCCAGCTGGAGGTATTAATTCACTTGTAAAAAAACACAACTAATGTGGGTGTTTTCAGGGTATGGCAAAACTGTGAGTCACGTCATAATAGGGTTAAAAACAGCTAAAGGCAGTAAACAGTTGAAGTTAGACCCCAGCATATATGAAGCTCTACAGAAGGAGAAAGTAGAAGTGGGGGATGTTATTTACATTGAAGCAAATAGTGGGGCTGTCAAGCGCCAGGGTAGATCTGATGGTTATGCAACGGAATTTGATCTAGAAGCTGAAGAATACGTGCCTTTACCTAAGGGGGAAGTACACAAAAAGAAGGAAGTGGTCCAGGTATATTTCCATTCGGCAAATTCTTGTGCTGTAGCTATTTTTCCAGGATGTTACTCTCCATGATTTAGACGCAGCAAACGCTAAACCCCAAGGTGGTCAGGATGTTTTATCAATGATGGGTCAGCTTCTCAAACCAAAGAAAACTGAAATTACTGATAAATTACGTCGCGAAATCAACAAAGTCGTTGATAAATACATAGACCAAGGCATAGCAGAATTAGTTCCAGGGGTTTTATTCATCGACGAAATTCACATGTTGGATATTGAAACTTTTACTTACTTGCATAGAGCGTTAGAGAGCGCAATCGCCCCAATCGTTATTTTTGCCACAAATAGAGGTCGCTGCGTTATTAGGGGTACTGACGACATTGTAGCACCTCACGGGATTCCTCTAGACCTTTTGGACCGTTTAGTTATAATTCGTACGTTACCATATTCTCGATCAGAGCTTGAACAAATTTTGAAATTGAGAGCTAACACCGAAGGACTGGAAATTGAAGCCGAAGCTTTATCTGCGTTAGGGGAAGTAGGGTCGAGGTCTACTTTGCGGTACGCAGTACAACTTCTCACCCCTGCGTCTCTAACGGCAAAAACAAACGGTAGAGATAACATCACCAAAGTTGATGTTGAAGAAGTTAGCTCTCTGTTTCTAGACGCCAAATCTTCCGCACGAATTTTATCCGATAATAAAGATAAGTACATGATGTAATTAAAAAAATAAAACGTTGTATTAATTCGTTGTGTTATTGAAACATGAATGAGAAATTATCAAGGTTGCGTTATTCAAATTTTGCGCAATTTCTGTGGATCGATTTTCAACCAATTAAACGCAGCCATTTGTATCGGTGATGATTCCACGAGTTTCGATTGGCGGTTGCGTTGGAAATTGATTGCGTCATCCAGCGTGGTGTTTTCTGATTGGCGGTTTTTCACTGTAAACTCTTCTAGAATCGCGGTGTTGTCATCAGTCGGAAAGTGAGTTTTGATTAGGCAAGTGAAGTTTGCCGGTGTTTTTAATGAATTAAATAAATGTCGTTGGAATTTTGTTGAAAATGAAGCAGTTTATCGTGTTTGCAATTGGTTTATTCGTTTTGTTAGGTAAATATTGCTACTTTTGTAGTTATCAGTCAAAATTAATTTATTGTTGCAGGACACGCACAAGCAGATGAGTCTTTAGGAGAAGCAACTGTGGAAAAAGTCGATCTTGATTTGGGGGCTAGCAGAGAGGCTTCAAGGACAGGTAATGTTTTGTTTTAACGTATATGTTCGTAATTCATGAGGTGTTCTTTCACAATTGGGTTTGTGTGTTTTGAAAAGTGGAGTCTTCTGTCAGATCTGTCCAAGTCGGTGAATTGGACTTGATACCAACCATATCTGGAAAATATAATATTGCAGAATTAGTAAAATAACGTGGCATGATTCATATGTAAATTGTGCTGATGCAAGAGACATTTTATGTACACTATACATATATTATTACATCCTTGTTTTCTCAAATTTGTATTCATAATTGACTGTTACAGATGTTTTACCATTTATTTTCAACAATTGTTTTAATTTAGTAGCTGAATTAGTTATGAAATTGTGTCATTTTTATCTTTATTCCTAAGGGATTTATAATCTATTAAATTTTTACTATCATTTAAGACCAATTAAATACAATATTGGTTATATAATCGTTAATAAGTCAGTAATAATAATCATCTGGGATTAAATATATCATATAAATTAAGTAATAAAAAGAAAAATAGGTAGAAACACTCATGGTCAATATTTTAAATTGGTTGCATTTTTTTATACTTACCTTTGATTTTCGGTTAGTGGATCCACGTGTTTTTCTCTGGGTCCCTTAACATTTAAATAATCAATGTATTTCTGCAACTCTGTATCATTACATTGTCGATCTAGTTTGTCTATACAGTAAAACTTTGGTGTTATAATACTCGCTGAAAACACAACGTCATTAATATTATTTTTATCAAACCAAGTTTCTAATGTTATTCTTATCAAAGTCGTAAAAGTGGCGCAATCTATTTTGGTAACAGTGTTTAATTATGCATAAAAAAATATATGCCAATGATTCATGATTTTGGTTTTTATTAGTTTTGAAGCAAAGCTTAACATAATACGTTGAAAAACCGCTCAGAGTAGGCGTTAGAATTTCATTTGACACAAAAGGCATGTCTATTCTTATAACATCCAAGCATAACCCGTGATTCGTGCTTCCGAGGTTTACGATGCGTAAGCATAGCAAGTATGATATAATTAAAAGTGACATTGCAAGTCAAAGTAAATATGCATAACCCGTTATATGTTATAAGAACAGACGTGCCGTTGGTGTCAAATGATATTCCAACGCCTACCCTGAATGATTTTTCAATTGAATATCCATTACAGTACACTGAAATTAATCAAAATAAGTATAAATTTGGATGTCACTGGAAAGCAGACATTTATTTTTACATTAAGTAAGCCAATTAGTTTGAAGTCTGGGGTGATTTTCGTCTCTTTCTAATTTTACACAAATGCTACTCGGGTTCCATTAACTATATATACTTTTATATCGGCGCCTGACTTTTTTAACCTAATAAAAAAATCGTGTACTTGTTTTTGCCTTTTGTGGTGAGATTAATTATTTTCCTACTTACGCAGCTTCAGGGGTTTCCCAATCTGCATGTTCGACCTGCCAGCCAAATTTTGCGCCGCAAAACACAACTTAAACGGCTTTTTTTTCTTCGGGAGAGTCTGCTCTTCCTTCTTTTCGTCGTCGCTCATGTTTGATCAATACACTTTATTTCCAGACGATGAAGTCGTTCAGCGCGAGGAAGAAGCCATAAAATTAGACGGCCTGAATGTGGCTCAACTAAAAGAACTGCGGGAAAAGTCTGAAAAATTCGCTTTTCAAACTGAAGTAAATCGGATGATGAAACTCATCATCAATTCATTATATAGAAACAAAGAAGTAAGTAAATCATGTTGTTCCGTCGACAAGTTAACCTTATTTCGTTGTTTGTTAGATTTTCTTGAGGGAATTAATCTCCAACGCTTCGGACGCCCTCGATAAAATACGTATGTTGTCACTGACAGACAAGAGCGCTCTGGACGCGACCGCGGAGTTAAATATACGTATCAAAGCTGATAAAGAGGCGGGGATGCTTCATATTACCGATACTGGTATCGGTATGACGAAACAGGACTTAATTAACAATCTAGGTACTATCGCTAAGTCTGGTACCGCAGAGTTCTTGAGTAAGATGCAGGATGCGGCGTCCGCGCAAGATATGAACGATATGATCGGTCAGTTCGGTGTCGGTTTCTACTCGTCATTTTTAGTCGCCGATAAGGTAATCGTTACCACTAAACACAACGACGATAAACAATATATTTGGGAGTCGGATTCTGCAAGCTTTTCGATTGTTGATGATCCTAGAGGCGATTCTTTGAAGAGAGGTACTACGGTTAGTCTTCAGTTGAAGCCTGAAGCTAAAGATTTCCTCGAGCATGATACTGTTCGCAACTTGGTGAAGAAGTACTCACAGTTTATCAATTTCCCGATTTACATGTGGACCAGTCACACGGAACAAGTGGAAGAACCGATTGAAGAAGACGAAGAAGAAAAGTCAGAAGAGAAAGAGAAAACTGATACGGAAGATGAAGCAGCAGTTGAAGAAGAGAAGGAAGAGGAGAAACCAAAAACTAAGAAAGTCGATAAAACGGTCTGGGATTGGGAGCTTCTGAATGACAGTAAACCAATTTGGACGAGGAAACCTACGGAAGTGGAAGACAAAGAGTACAATGAATTTTATAAGTCGTTAACTAAAGATACGAAGGATCCTTTAGCGAAAGTACACTTTGTGGCAGAAGGAGAAGTCACATTTAAAGCTTTGTTATATGTGCCTGAAGTACAACCATCAGAAAGTTTCAACAGATACGGTACTAAAACTGACAACATCAAGCTATACGTAAGAAGAGTTTTCATCACTGATGAGTTTAACGATATGATTCCGTCGTACCTAAGCTTCGTGAGAGGCGTTGTTGATTCAGACGATTTACCATTGAACGTATCTCGTGAAACTCTCCAGCAGCACAAATTGATCAAAGTTATTAAGAAAAAACTAGTACGTAAGGTTCTAGACATGTTGAAAAAGGTCCCAGATGAAGACTACCAGAAGTTCTGGAAAGAATATTCAACGAATATCAAACTGGGTACTATTGAAGATCCCGCAAATCGTACTCGTTTGGCCAAGCTCCTCCAATTCTACTCTTCTAACAGCGATACCATGACAAACCTAGCCGATTACGTCCAACGTATGAAACCCAAACAAGAACGTATTTTCTACATGGCTGGTTCTTCCAAAGAAGAAGTCCAAAAGTCGCCGTTCGTCGAACGTCTATTGCGTAAAGGCTACGAAGTTCTATATCTAGTAGAAGCCGTCGACGAGTACGCGATTTCCGCCATCCCCGAGTTCGAAGGAAAGAAATTCCAGAACGTAGCGAAGGAAGGGTTCAGTTTAACCGAGAGCGAAGGAGGCCAAGAACAACTAGAACAACTCAAAGGCAGATTCGAGCCCTTGACTAAATGGTTGAGTGACGATGCTCTTAAGGATCAAATTGCCAAAGCCACAGTTTCCGAAAGACTGAGCGATTCGCCTTGCGCTCTCGTGGCTAGCATGTTCGGCTGGACTGGTAATATGGAACGTCTGGCGGTTTCGAACGCCCATCAAAAATCCGACGATCCACAAAGGTCGTACTATTTGAACCAAAAGAAAACTTTGGAGATCAATCCTAGGCACCCCTTGATGCGGGAATTGTTGAAGAGGGTGAACGACGATCCCAGTGATCCAACGGCGAAAGATATGGCGTTGATGCTGTTCCGGACGGCTACTCTTAGATCCGGTTTCATGCTAAGAGAAACTGCGGATTTTGCGCAGAGTATCGAGATGATGATGAGGAAGACTTTGGGAGTGTCGGTAGACGAAGCGGTGGAAGAAGAGGAAGATCTCCCCGAGGACGGTATTCCAGAAGAAGAAATTGAAGAAATCAAAGAAGATGCAGAGCATGACGAGTTGTAAATACCGGTGTGGATGAAAGTGTGATTGTTTTGAATGATTATCAAAGACTGTCAAATTTTTGTATTTAAATTTAAATTATAATAAACAAATGTCTTAATTTCAAGATTTTGTTTTGTTTAAATTGAGTCTATAATATCGGCTTCGAAAACGGGTACTCCTTTAGTACCCAGATTGGTTAGTGCGAAGACGCTACCAGCTCCTGGTTGTTTCATGATTTGCTCTTCTGTTAAACCAATTCTTGAGGTGGTTATGAACAAGATGTCCAAGTCGGGGTCGCCCCACATCACCGAAGTGACGCTTTCGGCTGGAATTGGAAAACGGCCCAAAAGGTTACCGGTTGTTGGGTTTACTTTGATTACGGAACCTCCACCATAGAGCGCCACCCATAAGTTATCGTCTTCATCGATAGTCATACCGTCAGGACTTGCATCCAAACCGTGGTCTTTCAAGTAGGTTACTCTACGATTGGAAATTTCACCGCTTGTATCGTCATAGTCGTATTCAGCGATCTGTTGTGTAGGGGAATCGATGTAGTAAAATTTATCATTGGCTTTGTTCCACACTAAACCATTACTAACATTAAGGGGGCTATCATCACTTCGGGCGAAGAAAGATTTTTTGTTATTTTATAAAGAGTACTCTGTCTGGGTGGTTTACGGTGTCAGCATCCTGATCCATAGTACCTTTAAAAAAATATACTACAAACCTGTTTTAGAGAGGACTGAATATCTTACCAAACCAGATTCTTCCTTCTTTATCCGCTTTACCGTCATTCATGTTTGAATCGGGTTTATCTTCAGCTAGTGTTAGTAGAGTCTGGCTGCTGTAAGTACCGTCTTCTCTGTTCCATTGTACAGCAACAATAGTGCGTCCTATACCAGCTATAAGTAGATCGGGATTTGATTTTGATGGTACTACTGGCGATATGGGTCCTTGTAACGTTATGGACGTTAGTTCTTTACTAGTGTAATTGTAACTGTAGATGGTTCCAGGCCAGACGTCCACATAATACAGCAGATTGTTTCTGCTATCCCACGTAGGACACTCTGCATGGGTTACTGGTTCAGTGATTTGGTATAAAGCTGGCCCGTCGAAATTGTTGTCTCTTAAATTTGTTTGTTTTTATAGTGTAATTATTATTATCGTACTTACCCTAGTATTACGACGACGGATAATAACAGTAGCCGTACTAACCGCATTTTTTAAATCTATATGTTTCTTATTTGTAAAATATGAGCAAACACTGTGTTTCACTATATTCTGTTGATAGTCGAATCTATTTTTATTTAATCTAATAGTTAAGTGTCAGTAAGTAGGTACCCACTCGAGTTATGTACAGAGATATATTGTTTATATTTTACTGTTGCCTATGGTGTACATGATAACAATGATATACGTATTGATTAATAAATTTATAATGGAACTTAAACAGATCAGGTATAGTACTGTTAACCACCAACTGCTGATAATAATAATTTGTAAATGTGTAAATATTTTTATTATTATTACAATTCATAACAATCTTATTCATTCTTAAATATGCATCTTCTTCTCACATTCCTACAAAGTATCTATTACACCAAGCAGTTCAAGAGAAAACTCACCTTATCAATCGAGTCCAGTATATCCACAAAGTAAGCAGGACGTCCTTTTGTACCTAAGCCCACTACAAAAAACACAGTTCCTGGAGCCGGTTGTCCTAACTTTTGCTCATTTGTCAAACTAATCCTAGAACTTGTTACATAAAGCATATCCAAATACGGTCCTCCCCATGTGGCTGAAGTTACACCCAAAGTTGGAAAGCTTACGATATTCAAAATGTCGCCATTTGACGAATTAACTCTGACAACAGCACCACCACCATAGAGCGCTACCCATAGATTGTCGTCTTCGTCGATAGTCATCCCATGTGGACTTCCAATAACCTGCTCGGTGTGGTCGTTCACGTCGAAAACAACCCTGCGATTGCTAATTTCACCAGTTTCATCGTTGTAAGAATACTCGACGACTTGTGTGCTTCCTGCATCTATGTAGAAGAACTTGTCGTTGGCAGCGTTCCAAGTAAGACCGTTGCTTATATTAACAGGAGCTATTTCGATTCGAGGAGAGTCCAGATTTTCACAAGTCACTTGGTACAGGATTCCTTCGTTAGGACCCTCATAGCTCGTGGTACCGATCCACAAGTTACCTTCTTTGTCAGCTTTGCCATCGTTAACTCTGCTAGTAGGAAAATCAGGGGCTAGAGTCGTTAAAATTCGTGTCTCGCTGGGTTCTGAAACTCCATCCCATTCGACGGCAGCCACAGACCTATTCAAGCCCACTATTAAGAGATTGGAGTCTCTTACAGAAGGAATAACAGGAGCGACTTCACCATCTAGAAAAATAGAAGAAAACTCTTGTTTGAAAAAATCATATCTATGGATTTCTCCTTCGTAAATGCTGACAAAGTAAAGGATGTTGTTTCTGTAGTCCCATATGGGACAATCGGCTTTAATTGCAGGATCGCTTAGCTGATAGATACCGTGGTACTGTGTCGGAGTTCTTTGGAACGAGGATGTTAATAATAATTTTTAATCATCTGAAAACTTACAGTGGTTGTAGGCTCCAAATGGGGGCAAGAAGCGTTAAAAATGTTATCACAGTAGTTGCCATTTTTGATACTTACTAAAATAAGTATGTGGAGTATTATTTTATCTTTGTTGTCAACACTTTGTTTGAGAGGCGAAATGTAGATATTATCGCAGTAAGAAAACAAAGGTCGTCATTGTTCTTATGATGTCATTATATTATGGTAGTACTTACCTCTAGCAATGTGACGACGAATAAAATGAAGACTGTAACGAAAGAAAAAATGGAAAATATGCTTTGATTAAATTTTTATTTTCTTCTTTAAATATAGCAATTCATTACATTCTAGTCTATGCTTAACCTCGCAATACTTTCTTGGTACCACATGTCTGCAAAATATCAACATTAAACCTAGCAACTTCTAGAAAACACTTACCTCATCGTCAATCGAACCCAATAAATCTACTTCGAAAGTAGGGCGTCCCTTTGTTCCCAAGCCCGTTATAACAAATACAGCCCCAGCAGTTGGTTGTTGCAACTTTTCGTCATCTGTCAGACTAATCCTAGAAGTTGTTACGTAAAGCATATCCAAGTCCGGTCCTCCCCACATTACTGAAGTTATATCCGAAACTGGAAGAGATACGAAGTCCAAAAGATCACCATTTGAAGAATCAACTTTGATAACTCCGCTGCCACCATACAACGCTACCCATAGATTATCGTCTTCGTCAATGGTCATCCCATCCGGATCTCCAAGAAGATCATCGTGAGCGCTTCGGTCGAAAACAACCCTGCGACCACTGATTTCACCAGTTTCGTCGTTGTAAGAGTACTCGACAATTTGTAAGGTTGGTGAATCGATGTAGTAGAACTTGTCGTTGGCAGCATTCCAAGTAAGACCATTGCTTATATTGACAGGAGCTACCTCAACTAGAGGAGAGTCAAGATTGTCGCAAGTCACTAGATAAAGTATGCCTTCGTCAGGAGTTCCATTTGCACCATCGTTGCCCATGGTACCCATCCACAAGCGACCTTGTTTGTCAGCTTTGCCCTCGTTGACTCTGCTGTTGGGAAAATCAGGAGATAAAGATGCCAAAATTCGGGTCTCACTAGGTTTTGAGAACCCGTCCCATTCCACGGCAGCGACTGATCTGTCTAAACCTACTATTAGGAGATTCGGGTCTCTTTTGGAAGGAATAACAGGAGCGACTTCACCGTTGAGAGTAATGTGATCAACTCTTAATTGTTGATAGTCGAATCTGTAGATTTGTCCTTGATGTATGTTGACGTAATAAAGGACGTTGTTTCTATTATCCCAGCTGGGACACTCTGAATGGTCTACGGGTTCGGTGAGCTGGTAGACACCAGGGGACTGGGTTGGATTTCTTTAGAATTATATTTAGTAACAGGTTTGAATGTTTGCTAGAAACTTACAGTGCTGGTAGACTCCATATGGGAACGAGGAGCGTTAAAAATGTTATCACTGGAGACGTCATTTTTGAACTGAATAAAACGGGAATGTAGAGTACTACTTTATATATCTCATGCAAATATGTACTTCGTACAGTTTTAAGTACTTACTAAAGTGCTAAAAGTGGAATATTTTCTTAACGTATATGAACTCAGCATATTTTCTGTTGTTCAAAAAACCACATAAATATGTTTGACAAACAGAAGATAGTTAAACTGATTTAAAAATAAAATGATCGGGAACTTGTACCTATAATCTTCAAGTGGTATTTTTACTATAATCTCGTTTCTGTCTGCTTACTATGCAAGATATAATCAAAATGTGATTTAATTCTGGTTAACGCTCTAAAACGATAACTTGAATTAGTTAAGTTTTCTTTCTAGGTTGAAAATAATTTCGTCTACAGAATTTGAACAGCTTAACTTAGTTTAGTTACTCCCAAAAATGTTTAACTTAACATAAGTCGTTTATAAATAAATACTGAGAAAAAGAAAAATACTGGACGTTCTATTTTTGCTATCACGATGGGGTTTAGAAAAGTATCAAGAATGCAAAAAAATCAAAATGGCGAATATACTTCACTAAATTTGTATTATTTTTTTTTAATATATTGCAATTCACTACAACCTTGTCCATTCTTACTCACGCAATACCTTCTTGGCACCACAAGTCTACAAAATATCTACATTAAACCTACTATTATTCGCCAAGAAAAAACTTACCTCATCGTCAATCGAGCCCAGTAGATCTACTTCGAAAGTAGGACGTCCCTTTGTTCCCAAATTTACTATAGCAAACACAGCTCCAGCAGCCGGCTGTTCCAACTTTTGCTCATCTGTCAGACTAACCCTAGAAGTCGTCACGTAAAGAATATCCAAATCCGGTCCTCCCCATATGGCTGAAGTCACATCTAAAGCTGGAAGAGGTACGATCTCCAAAAGATCACCGTTTGAAGAATCAATTTTGATAACACGACCTCCACCATACAACGCTACCCACAGATTGTCGTCTTCGTCAATGGTCATCCCATCCGGATCTCCCAGGAGATCGTGGGCGGTTCGGTCGAAAACAACCCTGCGATCACTGATTTCACCAGTTTCGTCGTTGTAGGAGTATTCGACAATTAGAAAGCTTGGTGAGTCTATGTAGTAGAACTTGTCGTTGGCAGCATTCCAGGCGAGACCATTGCTTATATTAACGGGAGCGATTTCAACTAAGGGGGAGTCTAGATTGTCGCAGGTCACCTGGTATAAAATTCCTTCGTCTGGAGTCAAACCATCAGGACCTTCGTAGCCCATGGTACCGATCCACAAGCGGCCTTGTTTGTCAGCTTTGCCGTCGTTGACCCTACTAGTAGGAAAATCGGGAGCTAGAGCTGCCAAAATTCGGGTCTCACTAGGGTCGGAGACTCCATCCCATTCCACGGCAGCGACTGATCTACCTAAACCTACTATTAGGAGGTTCGGGTCTCTTTTGGAAGGAATAACTGGAGCGACTTCACCGTCAAGGGTAATGTAATTGACAGTTCCTTGTTCATAATCGTATCTGTAGACTTGCCCGTCGTGGATGTTGACGTAGTAAAGGATGTTGTTTCTATCATCCCAGCTGGGACACTCTGCGTGATCTACAGGTTCGGTAAGCTGGTAGACACCAGGGTATTGCGTGGGAATTCTTTAAAATGGTAGTGTTAGTAACAGTTTTAAATGTTTTCTAGATACTTACAGTGGTGGTAGACTCCATATGGGAACGGCAAGCGCTAAAAATGTTATCACTGTAGATGCCATTTTTTGTACTGAATAAAATAGGAATGTAGAGTATTATTTTATCTCTCATCAGAACACTTTGTACAGATTGCGTAGTACTAAAATTATACTATTTTGTTGACGTAAACTCTAATAAGTCAAAAAATGTTTTCACGTTTTAAGTTAAGTTAGCTTAACAAGCCGTTTATAAATCAACTAAATTGAGGAAAATACTGGATGTTCTAATTCTCCTATCGCGATGAGATTTAAAATTTTGAAGAAGACTTTAACGTCAACAAAAAATCAAAATAGAGGATATACTTCAATTAAAATTTTATTATTATATCTAAATATTGCAGTTCACTAAATCTTGTTCATGCTTAACCACGTAATACTTTCTTGGCACCACATGTCTACAAAATAATCCTCATTAGCCATTATTATTCCCCTAGGAAAACTTACCTCATCATCAATTGACCCTAATATATCTACTTCGAAAGTAGGGCGCCCTTTTGTTCCCAACCCGAATATGGCAAACACGGCCCCAGCAGCCGGTTGTTCTAACTTTTGCTCATCTGTCAGACTAACCCGAGAAGTTGTTACATAAAGAATATCCAAATCCGGTCCTCCCCATATGGCCGAAGTCACATCCAAAGCTGGAAGAGGTACGATCTCCAAAAGGTCACCATTTGAAGAATCAACCTTGATAATAGCTCCGCCACCATACAGCGCTATCCATAGATTATCGTCTTCATCAATAGTCATGCCATCTGGACCACCGACAATATGCTCTGTATGGTCATTTACGTCAAAAACGACCCTTCGGTCGCTGATTTCGCCAGTTTCGTCGTTGTAGGAGTACTCGACGACTTGTCCGCTTGGTGTGTCTATGTAGAAGAATTTGTCGTTGGCGGCGTTCCAAGCAAGACCGTTGCTGATATTAACGGGAGCGATTTCAACTAAGGGGGAGTCTAGATGGTCGCAGGTCACCTGGTATAAAATTCCTTCGTCTGGAGTCAAACCATCAGGACCTTCATAGCCCATGGTACCGATCCACAAGCGACCTTGTTTGTCAGCTTTGCCGTCGTTGACCCTACTAGTAGGAAAATCGGGAGCTAGAGCTGCCAAAATTCGGGTCTCACTAGGGTCGGAGACTCCGTCCCATTCCACGGCAGCAACAGATCGGTCTAAACCCACTATTAAGAGGTTAGGGTCTCTGCTGGAAGGAATAACGGGAGCGACTTCACCGTCGAGAGTAATATAAGCAAGGTTTCCTTGGTCATAGTCGTATCTATAGACTTGACCTTCGTGGATGTTGACATAGTAGAGAATGTTGTTTCTATAGTCCCAACTAGGACATTCTGCGTGATCGACGGGTTCGGTGAGCTGGTAGACACCAGGGTACTGGGTTGGAGCTCTTGGGAATGGTGAAGTTAGTAAAAATTTTTAATTTTCTAAAAACTTACAGTGGTGGTAGACTCCATATGGGAACGATAAGTGCCAAAAGTGCTATCACTGTAGTTGCCATTTTTGCTATTGAGTAAAATGAAAATTTAGAGTATTATTTTATCTGTGTAGTAAACACTTTATAAAGATATGATACTTGTCGCAGTGCTGAAACTAGAATATTTTTTTAACGTACAACGTAAGTATGTCGTGGAGATAACAATACAAATGAGTAGGTAACATAATATACATAAATGATTGCCTATACGTTGTATTTGTTTACGAAACTGTTAATAAGTTGAGCTTCAAAAAACAGTTTATTGCACATGTTTCAAAAGCAAAAATTAGTTAAATTTATTTCACCATATATCTGAAACCTTTTGTATGAGAATGCTTTTAATTTTATTACCTTAATCATCTGAATATATGAATAATTATTATTTCAACAAACTGCAAGTGTTTAAGTTTTTTTTACTACCGTAATATATCGTGCGAAAAAAGTTAATTAAAACAGCTACAAAACAGTCGTTAAATTGGTATCACTGTGTAGATTAAGCTTAGAAATTATTACCCACTGTTGCCAATATAAGAATGACTTCACCTTATTTTTGTCTATACTTCTACCATTTCTACATATGGCCTGTATATGTAAAATGCAATGCAGGAAAAATTACGCAGGACACTATTTTAGATATAACTAATAATTGTGTCATTTTTGTTAATTTATTAAATATAAACTTATCTTATACATTTATTTACTACTGAATAAAAACAGGTTTTCTGCTATGCACGATTTACCCCGAAGCGAAAGTCCCATGAATTTCATTATTTGTACATTACCGTTACAAGATCAACAAGTAAAAATCAGTTTCCTCAACACCACAATGACTACAACACAACTCTCCTTCTACCTCTTGTGTTACTTTATAAATACCTGGTGAGACATTTTTTTTTTTAATAAGCCACAATTAACAGTTTCCAGTTTTTGCATCCATTTATACCAAATAACTCCGCCTGTGGATCATGGCGAAGGTCCTACATGGGACTGCCGCAAAAACCTTCTATATTTCGTTGACATTCACGCCGGAAATGTGTATTCTTACGAGCCTTCAAGCGGAAATTTACATTCTATTCACCTGAACGGTGAAGTTTCGCCTGTTATACCATCAAAACGCGACCCCGAACTTTTGATAGTCGGTGTCAATCGTACTGTAGTTGCTGTGGAGTGGAATGGAAATAGTTCCGATTATCAAAGCAAGCCTCTGGTGACGGTGTCGAAGCAGTTTCCTATGAGCCGCTTCAATGACGGTAAAGCGGATAAGCAAGGTCGATTGTGGTTTGGTAATAAAATTTACATCTATGATATAAGTGCTCGAAATGAGGCATGTTTTGATAGCTTTTCGTGACATCACGTGGTGGCTATTGTATTTTATGGATTCTGAGATAGTGATACCGCTCAAGATGTTACCATTATTTTTAAATTTGTGTTTCAACACTGACCAGTTTTTTTAAATACTAAAACTTAATTGTTTTACTGAGTGATTAAAACATCTAGACAACATATATTGTATTATTCACGCTTCATAAGCTTCATCAACTTAATAAATTTCGTGACACTGCCTTTATTTCGAGCATATTCTGACTCAACCAATTACAATATCCATTTTGTAGGAACTATGGGATATGAAACTTCCACAAGCCTCGCTCCTAATCAAGGCTCGCTCTACAAAATCACCCGAGACAACTTACACAACCCTTCTGTTATGATATCACCCGTCAATATAAGTAACGGGCTTGCTTGGAACAAAGCAAACAACAAATTCTACTACATAGACACCCCGACTCGAAAAATCGTCGAATATGACTATGATGACGCTGGTGGTGAAATCAAAAATGGACGCGTAGTTTTTGATCTTAGTTGGTACAGCTCCATTAAGGGTTTTCCTGATGGTATGACCATAGATCGTGACGATAATCTATGGGTGGCCTTGTATTCTGGAAGTGCTGTGATTAAAGTCGACCCAAAAACTGGATATCTTCTTCAGATTGTGGCCATACCGGCAGAAGCTGTGACGTCTGTGATATGGGGTGGTCAGAATCTGGATGTTCTGTATATAACAACGTCAAGATATAGACTGAATAAAGAACAAAGGCTGAAGCAGCCGTATGCCGGCAGTGTTTTTGCTTTGACGGATCTGGGGACGGGAGGGGTGAAGGGATTTAAAGCCGATATTGTAGATGAGATTTGATGGTTGTATTAGTTTGATAACTAATAAATTTAGTGTTTTTTTATAAGTTCATACACACCTCATTTAGATATTTATTTTCAGAAACTATAAATAATGTGATAACCCAAACATCCCACCTTAGATTGACATGTGAAAAAAAATTGAACAGCCCGAGAAAAATTCAAAAATTCCTTGGCCTTGGCTGTGATCGTCTAATAAAATGGAACCCTACGTTGTGTTTGTTTTTTTTTGTGGCGGAGTGCAAGTGGTGAGTGGACCCCAAGGTTGGAAAAGTACCGCTAAATAAAACACAAAGTATATGGAGGACACAAAATCATTTATTTCTCCACTGACAAAAAAAAAAGAAGAAAAAAAAACTGCGACGAAGTTGTGCCGGTTGAAGACACCTCTTAATGCTCAGCTACAAAAAAAAAACATCGTCAACAAGGGAACAAAATTTTAATAAAACTCTATGCAGCGGCAGCGTCGCGCCATCCCGACTGCTCCCCCGACCTCTATTCAAGACCTGCGTCTTTTGTGCAGATGGCGCGACCGCCAGCTCGACAAGGAACCGCGCACTCCGCTTCAATTCTATGTACATGTTCAATTCAATTTTCTAACTCTATAACTATAACTCTGATATTAAACTACAACCGAACAAGTGTTAAATTTTGAAAGAGCAATAAACAACACTTAAATTCGCCATACACTCCACTCTCGTGAAATTTGAAACAGCAAGGAATTCTTTTCTGAGATTAAGATTGGATAGCAGACAATTTATGATGGAAACATTAATCAATAAAATGTTTACATGAAAAAACACTACTTATTACGTTCAGAAGTAAAAATAAGTATTACTTGTTTGCGGTGGATAAATTTAATGGACACTGGGTTCTTGCGGGTTCCGCAAACAATACTACCATTAAACAGTAATTAAAAAAGTTACGTCCAATATTGAGTTTCAACGCAAATAAATCCTATTTTAGCGATTAATCGAGAAACAAATACAAGAAAAAAATATATCGGGAAATCTAAAATTAAAATAAATATTAACTAAGGAGAGGCAGATATCCGGGGAATTCGATTAACTCTTAATCAAACTCAAACTTGTCAAGAAGCAAATATTTAAACAAGAAAGATACGCGTGATCGATTTATACAAAAACATGAAAAGTTTCAAAACATTAAAATCGTGCTGTGTTGTACATTTTACAGAAATTTTGGAAAACTGGTGCTCGATTACAAAATTGATAATAAAAATAACAATTTTTTTCACATTTTAGATTCTGTTTTTCTACTCCCCCTCGACACAAGAACATTTAACAAAATTAGTATTATTTATTTTGTTATATTACTTATTTGCTATAACATTTATTTCTTATTTCTGAAGAAAAAAATTAGAGAACGGGTGGGTGGGCGGGGCTAAATTTAACTTTTTCCAACACAGTCTTTTATAAGCAAGCGATAGCCCCGCCCACCCACCCCCTCTTCAGTTCAGTTATTAGTCTTAATATTGTTCAGTTATTTACCATCTCAGTATTATTTATTTGGTTATACCACTTATTTGCTATACCATTTATTTCTTATTTCTGAAGAAAAAAATTAGAGAACGGGTGGGTGAGCGGGGCTAAATTTAACTTTTTCCAACAGTCTTTTATAAGCAAGCGTTAGCCCCGCCCACCCACCCCCTCTTCAGTCTAGTGATTAGTCTTAATTTTGTTCAGTCATTTACCAAAATCAATCTTACCTTAACAAGTATAGTTTTGAAAATTTCATTCTACCCTATAAAATTTTATTGACAATAACGAGACGGACAGTAGTACAATGGTAAGAAATATTTATGGCTCACACCAGTTCACCCGAATTTGTCGGAGAACATCTAGCCCGTAGTTGAACTCATAAAATAGTGGTCATTTTCGTTTGTGACTAACGATAGTCCAGACCTGAATTATTCTGCTTTCTAACATTTGAGGATTACCGGCATGCGCAACTTTTAGTTGTAAATATCTCTTGCTATCGTACTATCCGTCTCGTTATTGCCAATAAAATTTTATAGGGTAGAATGAAATTTCCAAAACTATACTAGCCCCTCTCACCCGCCCTTTATTTTCTTAGAGGGTATATCATTTGCCAAAATTAATCTGGCGTGGGTGGGCGGGGAGAATGATATATTCTTTTGTAAAGTGAGAATGGAAACTAATAGAACTAGGAAAATAAAGGGTGGGTGGAAGGGGTTACTGGCTAAGACTGATTGCGGCAAACAACATACCTTCCAAGAAAACAGAGGGCGGGTGGGCGGGGCTAGTACTTGTTAAGATAAGACTGATTTTGGTAAATTACATATATTGTAAGAAAACAAAGGGTGGGTGGGCGGGGCTAAAACTTGCTAAACTTGTACTGAACAATATTAAGAGTGGTAACTGGAACGAAGAAGGGGTGGGTGGGCGGGGCTACTGCTTGTTCATAAAACTAGAAAAAAGCTAAATTCAGCTCCGACCACCTTATTTTTCCTTTTCACTGACTTCTTTTATTTAGTAAAAATTGGAAATTGAAAAATAACCGTATTGCATTCCCAAAATTTTCTGGAAAAATGGAGTGAGCCGTTTCTGATTTAATCAGTAAAATAAATTAGATAGGATTTATTCGGCAAAATTTTGAAATAAAGTCATCAATTTTTTTGGGCTTGATAAAGGTAGTTGTACTCATAAAATAATGGTCATTTTCGTTAGTGAGTAACGATGGTCCCTGTCCGGACCTGGATTATTCTGCTCTCTAACATCTGGGGATTACCGGCACGCGACAACTTTAGTTGTAAATATCTCTTGCTTTTGTACTACTATCCGTGTCATTATTGCCAATAAAATTTTATCGGGTAGAATGATATTTCCAAAACTATACTAGCCCCTCTCACCCACCTTTTATTTTCTTAGAAGGTATGTTATTTAGCAAAATCAATCTGGGGTGGGTGGGCGGGGCGAATGATATGTTCTTTTGTAAAGTGAGAATGGAAACTAATGGAACTAAGAAATTAAAAGGTGGGTGGGAGGGTCTAGTTCTTACTAAGATATGACTGATTGTGGCAAACCACATAGCTTCCAAGAAAACAGAGGGTGGGTGGGCGGGGCTAGTACTTGTTAAGATACGATCGATTTTGGTAAATGACATATCTTCTCAGAAAAAAAAGGGTGGGTGGGCGGGGCTAAAACTTACTAAAGTAGAACTGAACAATATTAGTAGTCACTGGAACGAAGAAGGGGTGGGTGGGTGGGGTTACTGCTTGTTCATAAAACTAGAAAAAAGCTAAATTTAGCCCTGCCTACCTTCATTCTCCATTTCACTGACTTATTTTATTTAGTGTAAAAGGGAAATTGAAAAATAACAGTATTGTATTCCGCAAATGTCTGTTTTTTAAGAATGTGAAACATTCTCGGGGGTCCAAACTGTCTTTTTTAAAAATGTAAAACCTTCTCGGGGGCCCCAAATGTCTTTTTAAGAATATGAACCTCGGGGGTCACAATTTTTTTTTAATGTCCAACCTTCTCGGAGGCCCCAAACGTATTTTTTTTTAAATGTGAGACCTCCGGGGTCCCAAATGTCTTTTTTAGATGTGAAACCTATTCGGGGGTCCCAACTATTTTTTTTTTAAATGTAAAACCTTCTCGGGGACGCCAACTGTCTTTTTTAAAAATGTAAAATCTTCTCGGGGGCGCCAAACGTCTTTTTTAAGAATGTGAAACCTTCTCGGGGGTCCCAACGGTCTTTTTTTAAAAATGTAAAACCTTCTCAGGGGCGCCAAATGTCTTTATTTAACAATGTAAAACCTTCTCGGGGGTCCCAACTGTCTTTTTTGAAAATATAAAACCTTCTCGGGGCTCCCAAATGTATTTTCTTAAGAATGTGAAACCTTCTCGGGGGTCCCAACCGTCTTTTTAAAAATATAAAACTTTCTCGGGGCTCCCAAATGTATTTTCTTAAGTATGTGAAACCTTCTCGGAGGTCCCAACCGTCTTTTTAAAAATATAAAACCTTTTCGGGGGCCGCAAATGTTTTTTTTTTATATGAAACCTTCTCGGGGGTCCCAACGGTCTTTTTTAAAAATGTAAAGTCTTTTCGGGATCGCCAAATGTCTTTATTTAAGAATGTGAAACCTTCTCGGGAGTCCCAACCGTCTTTTTAAAAATATAAAACCTTTTCGGGGGCCCCAAATGTTTTTTTTTTATATGAAACCTTCTCGGGGGTCCCAACGGTCTTTTTTAAAAATGTAAAGTCTTTTCGGGATCGCCAAATGTCTTTATTTAAGAATGTGAAACCTTCTCGGGGATCCCAAATGTGTTTTTTAAAAATGTAAAACCTTCTCAGGGGCTCCAAATGACTTTTTCTTAATATAAAACCTTCTCGGGGGCGCTAAACGTCTTTTTTAAGAATGTGAAACCTTCTGGGGAGTCCCAACTGTCTTTTTTAAGAATGTTAAACCTTCTCGGGGGTCCCAACTGTCTTACACTAGGGAGTGGTTACAACCTTATGGATTTGAGTAGCAAAGATTTATAAAAACAAAAAAATCTGGTGTGCAGACAAAAATATTACGTGAGGTTGGAACTGCAGAGCATGAAAATTTCCGTTCAATTTAAATTATACAGCAAAGAAAATTACTGAGGCTAAAATTACGAGGCAAAGCTAACAAAATTATTTGGTGTTCATTCGAGTTATTGATTAATTTTCAAAAGTGATATTCCTTTGCATTGTGGGCTATCGTTTTACATTCCCCCAAACAAACACAAAAAAAAACATAGCAGGCAATCTGGAGGTTTAAAATGGCGTCGGACGAATGCGTCGTTCCAAAAAATATGCGTCAAAAATATGTCTCCCAGAAATGTCATCAATCCTGTGGCTCTGTAGGCAATGTTCTTAGTTTGTTTAACGAGATTTTACAGTTCAAACATGTGCTCGGTTTGAAAATAGTCTTTCAACAGGCCGCTGCCAGAACAAAGAATTTACCTGATGTTAAATTATGTCACACTGATTGGTTACTTAAAACAATTAGCTTTGACAGTTTATATCGTGAACTGTCCCCAGCTTGTCCCAAACAAATACATGATAAAAAAGCACAAAATGCATCCAGCGTTGTGAGGAGTATGCGTCTCGGTGATGTGATGATAACGGTGATAACTGCCTAAGGGGAAAAATTTTAATCCCTCCGTACGGTTTGGGACACGGAATTTCAAACGACAACCAACTTTCTGACATTTAAAAAACATTGTAGTCTTATACCTTATTGTCATTATGATTGACAGGTCGTTTGAAATTCCGTGTCCCAAACTGTACCTCAAGTTCACGATATTATGAATTCTAGCGCACTTTCACGGTCGTTTTCCCAGAGTGGAACAACCGAACAACGTTAGGTTGATTTAACTGCCGTAAATGAACTATTAGCAATCTTGTGTGAGGAATTAAAATGTGTTATTATGTAACACTTAAGTATAAGCATCCAGAAACCTTATTCATAATTTGATAAACAAAGGATGAGTCCTGACTAAGTGAATTTCATGAAATCTGCTAGCAAGTGCTTTATCTGAACAATCTGTGACGGTTAATTGTGTTAGAACCAGTTAACGATTAAAATCCTGACATAAACTGTGAATTTACAAACGATAGATCAAATTTACACCACGTGTTAGCGTCGGTCAAAAGTTCGCATATTTCCGATTAGAAAAACAGCAATAATTAGCTACGCTTGTTGTTTTCGTTAAACAAAGGCTCTCCTCTTTTTTACTAACTACCAAACCAACCTAAACTTAACCTGGCTTCCTTACCGCGTGTTTTCACTCACCACAACAAAAACAACAGTGGCGCCACAGAACAGAATGACGCATTTCAACCCTCTATAAAGCAAGCCAACTTCTACCAACCCTTTCATTAGGTACTCCCCACAAATTCCCCTAGGAGAGCTACCAAGTACCCAAAAAGAACTAAACGTGCACATGGTTGCCTATCTTTATCGATTTTCTTGATTAAATTTTTTTCAAAATCAAATTATTCAAATGGGATTTTGTTATTTTTTTTCTCAGCGCGAAATTTTTTATTCAAATCTGGCCACCACAATGAGAAAATAAATTTTTTTGGTGGTCCAATTTTCATAGCAGTCCCCTCAACCATTTTTGCATAGTCGTCCTTAAGTACTGCTATATAGTGACATCGAATTGTTTTGCTCACTATTATTAGTTTAAGAACAAAATTTAAGAATTGTTTTAAATCTACTATTCTTACTTCTTGAGGGCCTACTAGGTCTATCTAATTGTAAGGTCATGTAAATTTATCTTTAAGTAATAGTACAATAACTAATAATAAATTTTGTGTTTTGTTTGATACAGGTTTTGATATTACCAGAGAACATAGAGAAGCGTCATAGTTTAAAATAAATGACGGTTGAGGACTCCTCGACTTATGTTGACAACAGTGTTTGTTTCTAACTAGGAATAAAATTAACTACAATAGAAAAAATGTCATAATATTTTTAACGACGCGTTTTACTTTCGACAAATTGATACTAGATTTACCAGAATATTACAAGCTGCTTATTGTTTCCTTCACTTTAATTCAGATCACACGAATTACAGTTCGTCGTCTGAGAACTTGTTCGATCTACAGACCAGAGCGCACTCAGGCCACTGTCGACTCTAAACGTTCGGGAACGATTTTATTTATAAGCCATGATCCGTGATGCCGGTGTCGACCATACATAATTTCTGCTGTTTCAACTTTAGAATTCTCAGTTTTAGTGTGGGGACTTTTCAATTTACTCCTATTTATTATTCAATTTTTGGATTTTTCAATTTCTCGGTTTTCAGTTTTTCTCTTCAATTTTACAATTTTTAAATATTTCGATTTTTGACTTTTATAAACTCTTTATTTGTCGATTTTTCAATTAATTGACTTTTCAGGTTTTTTGGTTTTTCAATTTTTCAATTTTTTCAGGTTTCGAGTTTTCAACTTCACTTTTTTTATTTTTCGATTTCTCAATTTTTCAATTTTTTAATTGCTCAGTTTTTTGACATTTCAGTTTTGGGATTTTTCAGTTTACTTGTTATTCAATTTTTCGATCTTACGAATTTGCAGGTTTTTGATTGTTCAATTTTTCGATTTTTTAAGGTTTCGATATTTCGACTTCACTTTTTTGATTTTTCGATTTCTCAATTTTTCGATTCTTTAGATTCTCAGTTTTTGGATATTTCAGTTTTTCGATTCGTCAGTTTTTCTTTAATTTTTCAGTTTTTCCATATTTCAGTTTTGGGATTTTTCAATATTTCTGTTCTTCGACTTTCCCATTTTGGACTTTTGGATTTTTCGATGTGTCGACTTTTTACTTTTTCGATTTTTAAATTTTAGATTTCTCAATTTTAGATTTCTCAATTTTTTGGTATTTTAATTTTTCAATATTTAAAATTTTTGATTTTTCGATTTATCGATTTTTCATTTAAGCTCTCCCATATTTCAATTTTTCAAATGTTTGGATTTCTTAATCTTTCGATTTTTCGACTTCTCAGTTTTAAATTTTCTGTTTTTCAATTGTCATTTTGCCAAATTTTTGATTTTTTAATTTTTCAAATTTGACTTTCATAATCTCTCAATTTTTCGATTTTTCAATTAACCGATTTTCCCATTTCTTGACCTTCGAGTGTTTCGATTTTTCTGTCCTTCAATTCTTTAATTTTTGGATTTTTTAGGTTTTTGATTTTTCAATTTTTCGATTTTTTAAGGTTTCGATTTTTCGATTATTACATTTCTCGATTTTTCGAATTTTCGATTATTTTAATTTTTCATTTTTTTTTCTCACTGTTACAGTTGTCTACAGTTTTCTAAGTTTCTTTTTATGTATATTTATATTTTTGATACAACGTTGTTAAACTAAATTTTGATTTCTGATAGTTTTGCCTCCGTTGTAGGCATTTCAAATTTGGAATCGATGATTATTGATTATTTATTTTAAACAAAAAAAACTATATTTTCTTCATATTGTACTACAAAATTATTTAAAATGTATATTTTGTTATATTCAAATTTAGCTGCAAGTGTCGTTTTATTATAATTTGACACCCTATATATTTGTAATAATTTAAGCTGGTAGCGACACCTACTAAGACTCAGCTAAAAAGGTGTCTGTTTTACCGACATTCAACTTATGACAATTTGACAGCTTTCCTAACCTTACTTTATAATTTCGATATTTTAAATGAATTGTATTTGAAAAACGGCGACTTGAAAAGCACAAATGTTGCAGAAAAGTGTCTTTGGATTCTTATGTCAAGTGAGGAATCTCAACTGTCATTCGGCTAGTATTACCAGACCCCATAGATTAACATACAAGCGGGGGTACCCTACGGTTCTCGTTTATCCAGATGGGTCAAGCATTAAAATTAGTTACCATGAACCTAGACAAATAATAAAGGTAAAATTGTACCTTCACTAGTATACGTTGTGATCGTTTTGCGTTGCAGTTGCCTTTAAACATTTGGACTTTGAGTGAAGCCGAACGTAAAGCAAAACTCGAATCCCGTAAACCAAAGAAAAAGGTAAAATTTGTCGACGATTTCGAAGACACGTATGATGCGAACAAATACTTAAAATATCTGAAGAAGAAGTGATTAGATAACATTATGTAGCGATTGTTTTAATAAATCAAATTACATTATTCAGCATTGTTTTGAAACTCTTAATTGATATTACAAACGAAACTTTAAATAATTTTGTTAATTAAATCGACTGAATCTGCTACTTTCATTATGGTAATGAACCCATTGTGGAAACAATTGTACAACTGTGGGGAAGAAAAGAAAGTATGTGAATTACATTTCCTGCATGGGAGCATTTCACTTTTTTTCAAAAGATTTTTTCGATCTCTCGCGATACCCACAACTATTTCGTAACACAATTACAATCGATTGTTTTTCGCAAAAATGCAAATTCGAAAGTGGCGCGTGAAAATTCCGGCGCATGCGTGCGCCTGAACGCGTGCACCGTGCTGCGGCCAACGTGACATCGCGCTATCTCCTTCCCCCCAATCGCTGCAAGCGAGACGGGGGATATCGTCACTACGTTTCCCACAATATGGCAGCAGTGGATGGTTACATGGACGGGTGAAAGCTTGCACTGTCATTACAAACTTTTTATTTACGTGTGAAACTTCAAATTGCGAGCTCAAGTGTTGATGAAGCCGCTTTCAGTGCCTAAAAGTGCCGCGTTTTGCATGGACTGAGCAAAGGGACCGGTTGAAAACGTACCGGATTTCGCGAGCAAGTGTGAAGAAGGACTATTTATGTAAAGTTGAGTGCACATAATTTCTAAATTTAATTACAAATATAAACCTGCAGAACCGCGTTGTGTCCATCTAGTTATGTGCGATGGTCTTTGCCCCGTTTGCTCGCGCCCGAACGTCCGCCGCCCTGTGTCCGAAGGCCCCCAGTGAACCTGCCCAAAAGTAAAAATTATGTGTGACAAGACTTCCACAGTGGCCCACCTAAATCGTACAAAAACATGTACGATATTGGTTAATGTAACGTAGGTCCGCAGTCCATTATAATGCACTCGAGCAACAAAAATGAGCCTTGTTCCACTAATTCCACTATTCCGTGTATGTATGACACCCCGTGCGACCCGAAGGATAGTGATTATGAGAAGGTGTTTTGTCCGAATAACGAACTGTCGGAGCCCCCCAAGACCCGCTGTGATAGACTCAAAACTGGCTCTTCCTGTCAGGCCCTGAAGCATGCTGTGGCGTCCCTGCACCGCCTCGATGACTTCCACAAGGAGAAGATCGGCTCTGGATTTTTCTCGGAGGTTTTCAAGGTAGCGCATAACCTCCACACTAAATCACCATCTGGGCGCAAACTGGGTCATAATGTTTGCATTAACCTCGACTATTCCATATATGACAGGATAAAAACTGTAACCTACCTACTTACCTTTGCCACTTCATTAACGGCTGATTACAAGTACGGTAAACCACGTTTCAAAATTAGAACCATTTAGTGAAATAATTGCGCTAATGAACCACAAAAAGTGGAAAAAGGGCCAGCTATAATCAGCTGATTTAGACATGCTCATACCTTTCCTTGACGGAAATTTTAAGCCCTTTTTGTATAATCTAATCTTAAGTATTTAGTACTTGATGACTTTAATTGTGTTATTAGCAATTTAGTAAATAATAGTTTTTTGTAATCAAGACGTAATAATGCATCTTTTTTCCATTTTGCTAAGTGGCTTAAATTGTAGATTACGTTTCGCATTATTATCATTTACGTGCGGTGTACGCAGTTCGAGGTAAACCAAAGGTCGTAAATATGGTAAATAACGGTTTATTTTTACCTTTAATATAAGGTTTAAGTACAAAATTCGTGGTTCCTACGTCACTGAGGACAGTCATTGTAGGCATACTGGGTTTTGATAAGGCTGATCCCAATAGAGATTAAATCTAATTATATTATTAAAACTCATTTGCAAAGATTAGAATTGTAGGTTCTAAAGACCTCTCATAACGTGTTTGTGCGTAAAATGAAATAATGTGTTGAAACATCCACAGTTCTAAAATTGAGATAATGTAATCTCGCTTCGTGGTTCTCAGCAGAATGTCTCATAAAATTTCATGTTTGTAATTTTTTGATCATTTTAATCGATTAAATATTTTGAATGTAATAAAATCAAAGATTTCTTGTTTGTAAGAATTACCAATATTGAAAAATGGTTTGGAAAATTTTAGATTTTTTTATTTTATTACAAAAAAATGCTTGAAGTTATTGTCACAGGATTTCGCACTTCATAAGCATTAAGTTGTTTTTCAAAAAAGAGGGTTTTACTGTAAACAACTACACATTTTTGTAGCTCTTTGAAATATATGTTAGAGCGGATAATATTTAGTTAAGAAATATAAATTGTATAATCGGAGAATTCGTGCGCAGTTGCATCTAATAATAATTTATTTTGGAATAAATGGCGTCATCACTTTCGGGGGAAGGATTAAATATATTGCTTAAAAAAACTACAAATGTTTAATGTGAAACAAAAAGTATGTTTAGAATAGTGTCTACAATTTCTAATTTTTTGAAATACCGTCATTAATTTTTCGGGACGAAATATACAGGGTGTTCAAAAAATGGCCCACAACTCTATGACACGTTCAGTGTTGCCAGAGTTAAATGGTAAAATTCCGCTACAGGCTGCTTTTAGACCTGAAAATTGTCATTTATAAACTCCGCTGCAAAGTTGCCGCCGATAGTAACTTTGATGTTCAACTTTTTAAAGGGGTTGTAGATGAAAAGTAGCGGATTCAAGTTGATTACTACAAAAATTTACCATTTTATACATGTTTTAAGTTTCTTGTTGTCGAAATAAGTCTACACATTCTAAGAAAAAAGGCAAAATGTAGCCCCGCCCACCCGCCCTGTCTCAATTGTGATGATTTTTTTATTCGTCGTGAGCCAAGGGGACGGAGCTTAACTGCAAAATCCTATATTAATATATATTCAGAAAAAAATAAAGCCAAAGGTTAGGCCCCACCCATACCCTCCCGATTTATATTTTGCCTTTTTTTCTTAACGTACATAGTATTCTTTGAACAACACGATACTCAAAAACATGTTTTTAATTTCATGTAAAGAAATAAAAATTTTGCAGTTAGGCTCCACCCTCTTGGTTCACGGCGAATAAAAAAATCATTTCAATTGAGAAAGGGGGGGTTGGCGGGCCTACATTATGCCTTTTTGTTTTAATATGGGTAGACTTCTTTTCACAACATGAAACTTAAAACATGTTTAGAATGGAAAATTTGTATGAGGAAATATCGATTTTGCAATTAGGCTGCAACCCCTAAATTGCAAAATCCATATTTCCTTGCAAAAATCTACTATTCTAAACATGTTCTAAGTTTCTTGTTGTGAAAAGATGGCTATGTATTACTAAAAAAGGCAAAATATAAGCCCCGCCCATCCACCCTGTCTGAATTCTGATGATTTTTTTTATTCGTTGTCAGACCGAGGGGCGGAGCGTAATTGCAAAATCGATATTTCTCTATATAAATTTACCATTTTAAATATGTTATAAGTTTCTGGTTGTGAAAAGATGACTACACATATTAAGAAAAAAAGACAAAATGTAAACCTCGCCCACCAGTTGATGGGTTGGTTAAAAATTTCTAAGTTTACACCCGCCATTCAAAATAAAATTTTGTACAACTCTAATAATGTGTCAAAGCGCACAAAAAAATCACTCGAATTTTGCAATTTTCAAGTCTCAGAAAAATTCCGCTGCGTCTGGCAACACTGGACATGTTGTTCAGGACCATTTATAGAGCAAAGAAAAAATAATTAAAAAAATTCTTTTATCCAACTGTAGAAGTTTTTTTTTGAAATTGTACCATATTTTAATTCCCTACTTTGCGTTGGGTATCTGAAATTGGGTTTTCATTATTCAAAATAATTTTGGAGGCATCTTGTCTTATCCATAGATTTCTCCATTTTAATAACAATACAAAAAACTGACGACAGTGGTTAAATTTCTACGTTTTTTATCTGTCTATCTGAATCGATATTTTGTTTTGTAAGCGAACGAATTTTTTTATGATTTTTCTCGAACTTAGATTTGCGAATTTAATCATCGTTTAGTTGGTGCACCATTTTACACCTTCTATATTATATAAAATTATAAAATGTAACACCCTTTAGAATGAGCACCCTTAATTTTTTTCCCTTCTTACAATTCATGCAAAAGTTTAAAGTGATGGGCTTGGCAGATTTGGAAGTTATTGATGTAATAGAATTTTCAACAGATAAACACAGAGAAACGGGAAAACACCATTTTCGTCTTTATTAGTGATGCATTTTTTTTATGTAAAATTAAATATTCTTTTTGAGTCGAAGCAGGGGCCACATGGTCGTAGAAAAAATATTGTAGCATTTAACTAATAAAAGTGGTACCAGGATTATATGCTGAACTTATAGGTGTTAACAACATCTGACAAAAATGTTTGAAATAATGTTTTGATTCCGTGTAGTTTTTGTGGTGAGCTTTAATGTCATATACATTTTTTTATTTGCATTTTGACATGAAAAATACTTGGTGGACATTTCCAATAAATCCACTTTAATAGCCTTATTTTTGTTGGTTCGTTAAATATTTACATTTTTACATGATTCAACGTTTCGATCGTGTTTCAAACAACGATAAATATTCCACAGAAAAAGATAGTTAGTGCAAATATTTTACAATATGTTTATATTTATCACGTAGACACTGATGATTTGTATTTTAAAAAAACATTGGTGATATGTCGTGATAATCTTGAAAATTTTATATATTAGCAAATAAATCCGCCACTAACTTTTTAAATTGTTTACGGCTTAGGTAGATTGTAAAATGAGGATATTAAATGAAAATTAATTGCAAAGATATTCGAAAGCATTACTCACACGTGTAACAAACAATTTGACATATGTACCGCTTTAAAAAATTGCTTTGGATGTCGTATTTTAAAACAAATGAAGAAAGTGAAGGAATAGTAGTTAAAGAAAGCAATTAATGTGTCTCAGTAGTATTATTAATTTTCTATTTTTTGAAATTATTGTTTAATTATAATTATTCAAGCACTGTATTTGTAAAAATAATCCAAACAATCTTTCTACATTTTTTTGTGGATCTTATTTCTAGAAGCGTCACATCGGAATATTAAAAATAAACTCTGGCAATTCAGAGTACGTAAAAATATATAGTGTGTCCCAATTAAAATAACTACCATGTTGCGCCTTAAAAACAGAACACTCTACACTTGAAAATAATGTTAATTTACACTACTCAAAAAAACCTTGTGACTTTAGTCTTTTATTTATATACACAATATTTACAGTCGCTAACATGTTGAGAACATTTTAACAGTTAATTAATCGGGGAAGAAAGGTGAAAAACTAATCCTTTTATGTAAATTAAGTACTCCCAAATTTTTCATTTCGAAACCAGCAATTCACAAAGTGTGTAAACAAGAAAATTTCATTTTACAGATCTCTTTCCCATTATGAAAATACCACAGTTATCATTATGTTCATAAATAATTTAATTTATTGTTTCATACTTTCACACCCATTTTTGTTCCAGATGAAGAAATGAGAAAATTTTCATTTGATTTTGAATTGAAAAATTCTAAGAAAATTGTTTTTGGAACTATTTGGAATGCACAAATGCAAACAAATCAACTTTTTCGGACTCACGAGTTTTATACTCAATTTAGTTTCTAAATATTAATGTCAAAGTCGATCGTGAAACTTTTTAGCGCTTGTAACAACGTTAACAGCTGTGTAAGTGTGATTGGAAGTCAGATGGTTAATTTATAATAATTAACATATTTGTATTTTCTACTGTTACATTAGCATGCCACAATGGAATTATAGTTGAGAAATATATTAAATTAAAAAATTTATTTACGTTTAAAAACCGCTTTAGTACAAGTTTGTCGACAATCACACTACAAGGTATTAAAATTAATTAGTAAATGTATAATTTCCTTATAAACGAATATTTGGTCGTGCGAGGGCGTATGGAAATGACCATTTCAAAAGTACGTGGCCATTCGCTACGTTTTTACAACTTTTTACTAAATTAAACAACAAACACGTTCGTTTGTTCTGCCGACGTCCGTAATTTGCAACTCTAAAATATTTTTATCTTTCGTAGCCACATTATCATACAAAATGCGACGATTTAAAATGTTATCACATTTTCCTCATTTGAATACCGCGAATTATGTTCCTTGTATTATATCAAATCGTGCGAGACGTTTACATAAATTTATATCTATTTAAATT